GCGTTGAAAAGTGAGATATGACAGAATTAAAACGAGTGTCCCTTCGACTCGTCATCCGGCCGTGGGACGGTATAATACAGCATTAACCGTCACTACCTCATTCGAGGAGACGGGCAAATGGGATTCCTTGATAACAACACCACTACGCTCACCCACACACACACACTCACACACATTCACACACTCAGCGAGGGATCGATGGTGAGGAAGTCATTGCCGAATCGCTTGTGTTGGTAACCCTTCCTCGCCGAACACCATCATGTCAAACTCGCCAGTTTTTTTTGTGCACCACGGCGACGACACCACACCAACATGAAATTTGCATGTGGGGCGCAAGGAAGGTGCCGCTGTCGTACGAACCTCACAGGGCTTCCGTGTTTGAGGCTGAAAGATGGACGCTGTGATTTGCGGTGGCCGGCGGCGGAAGAAGCAAGAATATGCGTTGGCCGCAACCTGGTCACCCACGGGCGTTACTCTACCGAGTGGACTCTCCTTTCATCGGAACACGACCGCGTGTGTGTAGTTAACCAGCAGCACGGCGACTACGACTGCCGTTGTCTTTTGACAGGTGCTGGCAGCCGTGACGCCGCCGCCGGAGCAGCAGTTCATGTCAGTCAGAAGCCGCCTTCCGTGTGCTAAGGCTGGCCAAATTCTCCGGGGGAGGACAGCCCAGGGGAAGAGAGTCAACTGGGCGGCCGCTGAGGAGAGTTCCTATTCGTACGCCGACTTACTGTATGTAATGTACAGTACTCCTGCCCTGCGGCATTGCGGCAGTGAAACCTGCAGGTATCCGGCCTGGGGAATTTCTTACCTACCCTACCAGGCGTTGAACCCCCACCCTATCAGGGCATGCCATAACGTTGCTGCTCCCACGTATGGGCGAAATCCGGCATGCTCATTTATTTTTTGCATCAATCCCGGGCTAGTTGACCTTCGCGACCCTTCCTGACTTACCAAGAACGCGGGAAGTGACATCCTTGTCCTGTTTCGGATGCCATTGGCCACCATCAAGTAAACGGGATCCTTTGGGGGGCCTTCTGGCGAGTCATCTACTGCCGTTTAGCTCTCAGCCAATATTTGATCAGCATCAGGACGGTGCTGATGCTACGATTTGTTTCCGAAATGGAAGCTCTGGAGCCTGGATGTGAGACTAAAGCACGCCTCCAGCACACTCGACGGCCTGTTGGCAGGGTGCAACACTGGGCTCTACCGTGGCGAGATTGCTCAATGTGACGCCTCACAAATCCAACGTCTGGCCGTTCGGACCGGCGAGACGTGGTAGGGGGAGAGAGAGAGCAATCACAAAGTTGCCCACAGTCCTCCCACTGCACTGCAGCGCGCGCAACACACAGGCAAAGACTGAAACAACACCGCAGCTGCAAACAAGAATAGCCTGACAATGACGGAATGGCAGCGCTAGCCCTATCCTAGTGGCTTATAGCACCCTGAACTGCACGTTTTTCGCACCCCTGCAGTGTCTCGCGGGTTCTCCTTGTGGGTCGGCCGATGCAGTCGCTAATTAAGTCGACTTTGACTTGACGATTGTCGTAACGGCCTCTGCTTGGGCTTGGGCTTAGGCTTGGGCTTAGGGTAGTGGGCATGTCTTACCTTATCCGCTTGACTTACTGAGACCGGTTTACTGCCCGCCACCTAGACAGACCCGTTTCTTCTTCGGCGCCGAGCAACTTGGATTGACTGCAAAACAGCAACAAAGACAGAGGCAGAGGCAGAGGCAGACCTAATGCAGCATTGCATATGCAGTAGTAACCGAAGAAAGACCTTACATGACATCTTACTCATATTTCCGGTTGCTGAACGGTACATATTCGGCATATTCGGGGAAAGTTACGAAACTGGCCTTTTGCTTATCCACACGTTTGCGATACGGCTCCGGCGAGCACCTTGTTACACGGCTCCCGCACGTCCAGGAAGAACCTTTCCCGCCTAATGTGCGACCCTCCGGACCGCGTAGCGGGCATGGAGTCAATTGGACGGCTCGTGTTATACAGCAGAACCATTCGGCCGGCAGTCATGCCTATAACTCAGTGTCTCATGACGATATCACGACTTTCAATGAGTTTCTAGAGAACATCGTCCTATACTGTCAGCCGCTATGTGAGATGTTGCATTTTGACTGCCGTGTGGAAGCAGCTAGCCAGAAGGAGTACAGTGACATCTGCTGTGGACTGCAACAGCACATGTCAAACATACAGTGTAGTCCTAGCACCGAATATGGCATATTACGCAAGGCTTGAAAGAGCCGTTCTCAATTAAGCAAGGACGTGCGCCATGGCCTATCTTGCCATCGTGGCTGCAAGTGGGCCGATGGTGAAAGCCTGTTCTTCCCTTTGAGAGACGGTAACACCCTCTGTATTACAGGCATTGCAAAGGTCATATTCTGATATATCATAATTACCCCCGGGAAATCAGCACGCTTCCAGAGCAAGCCACAGCGTCTCACGGAGGACTCGACGATACCTCCCATCGATCACCTCCCCTATCCGTCCTGCACGCGGGCCACCTGACACTGTCATGCCGAGTTGTGCAATAGTCTCGACCCTGCTATGGAGGATCTACAGGGTTCAACACCTGTTTCGCCAGTGTGCGCCCGTATTTCAGCATCGCAGATCCTTCTATATGTCTCGACGCGGCGACAGACATATCACGAAGGATTCAAGTCTGTATCGATGGCCGGCGCTTCAGTACTACGGCATCCATCGGATCTCCATCCCAGTTGGCTTATTTGGTGCGACTAAGTTATTGGTTGTGTTAGTCCGCTCTGAGCCATACTGCCGGTAACATTGTATGTATCCACGTGTGAGCTGCTCGGCGATAGGTCTAGTACTTCTGAACGCAAATCCTGGCATGATCTGCGGTCCGCGGGGAGCTGGATGCGAGCCCCTCTGTACGTTCATACCCGGCAGTGACCCTCAGTGCTTGGGCTCGGCAGTGATAGCATTGTTCAGACAGGTGACGATCAACCCCTGACCTGTCTTGGTCCAACCAAGCTGGACCGCCAATACGCGGCCCTCCTATGCACAACTCACAATGACTACCCTACAATAGCTCCTTGGTTCACAACAGCTATCTGTGATAGTGTCTGGCGCGTAGCACTGATTACACTCACCCCAATCAGCCTATCCCCTCGCTCAAAAGAGCATAGCAGCGCCAGGCTTAACATCACGAGGGCGAGGATTGACGCACTGAGACCCCTTATCAGAGGCTAAAGGGTCTCTGCATGCCTCGATGCGAGGAGGGTCTGTCTTTTCGCCGATTTGTGTGTTCCAGCTCCGGCCATTGCCCAATACGCCCACCTACACTGCTCCAACACACATTCTGGAGACCGCCTTCAAGTCCGCCGCAGTTGACAGCCACGATAATTTTTTTTTTGCTCTCTCGCGCAGATCAGGTTAGGAGCCACGATTCTCTTGCCTTTTCAGGAGGCTAGATGCGAGTGCAATTAGCGTCGTGTTTTCTTTTTCTTCCTCAAGCCCGTCAAGGTTCCGTCGCGCCGTGTGATAGGCTTGAAGCCGGTCACGGCTGGAAACCCGGTTGCAGATAAGGACGTGTCGAGTGATTCGACGTCGGGCCCGAGGCGAAGGGGAAAATAGCCCTCGACTCCTGATCCTGCCGAAGACAAAAGCAATGAGGGACGGTCCGATGCTGCTTGTAATGGCCGTGTCGTACCGTCATTCGATACCATTTGCTGGAGAGCTTTTCCTGCTGTGTTGCTGGTCGTCGACGACGGGGGATCCCTGGCATGCGCAGTGATTAACGCTGCTTGATATGCTGTTGTTGATATTCACTCGGAGGCTGGAAAACGCCTCCTACGGCGCCAGCTGCATGAAAAACAGGCAACTAAACACCTGGGCTCATGGGTCGGCCGGTAACTGTAAAGACTTTTGCCCTTGACGGATCGCCCCCTTTACGCTGATCAGGCGGAGTACTTTCAACTATGAATTGTCAAGGAGCCCAGCGGTCTTCGATGACTTCACAGCGGACATCGCCAATATCTTTGTCAGATACAGGGCCCTGATGAGAAATATTGGATGTTCACACCCCTAGCTCTCAGAGACAGCCACTTACATGTTCCAATCCCCACATCCCGCCCTCCATCACTGCCCTGCCAGGCAGGGCACGCTAGACCTCACAGAGTCGAGCGCCCCCGTATCGTGCTGAGCCCCCCTGTCCTCCTAGGTTATACAGGAGGATCGCGGGCATATTACTCTGTAGGTATAGTTAAAAGTGATGTGAGCGATGTTGCGCACCACACCCAGCCATCACTTCAAAGCGGAAACACCCTGCTTACTCTGCATATCACACCACCAGCCATCTGGTGGTAGAGGGTGGTAATACAAGAGGTGCTGTGCGACACGGGGAACAGTTGCCGAGCCTCGTCCTGATACGATTTTCGATCCCTACCATCTTTTTGCTTCTTTCATCCTCCTGCTGGTCAGGGTTCACAATCGAGATTGCGCAACGAAAACGTGGGAGGAAGGCTGTGACTGGTGGTGGGTGGGTGGGCTGGTGAGTAATAACCTGCTCTTTGCCTGCCTGCCCATGCGCGCAGTCCTAAATCAAATTTCCAGCCGCCTCGGAATTCGCAGGATGAAGCAATGAAACGCCGGCTTGTCAAGTTTATACAGTTGATGAATTTCCTTTTTTTTTTCGTCTCCCACGAAATAGACGGGTTCTACCTTCCCGCTTTAATAACTTTCTATCTAGCGAATACACAGGTATTTAGCAAGCGATTTAAACCATGCCGTGCAAATTTGACCCTGAGTGACCTGTCTAAGATTGGGCTTGCAATCTTCTCAAAACCCCCCTTGGTGCAGAAACGACTAGCAATGACCACCCATGCTGTGTAGAACATGGCTGAATGACTCCTGAACTTCATCGTTGCCAGGCTCCAGTGCCTGACACTGGCTCCTCATCTACGCCTGCTCTTTGGCCGGCAGAGCGTCCTCGAGATCTCGGAGCCACGTCTGAACATCGCCCTTCTAGGCCTGACTGCCCTTCATGGCCTTCTTTCTTCGGATCCGTTCTGTCACCCGGGTGAGCGCAGTCTTCACGTCACCCCGTTCGAATGTGTCTAGATCATAGTAGATAGGTGCAATTTCCTGCAGACATGTGGTCAGCAAAATGGGTCGAAGGTAAATGACGAGCAGCACGTTGACTTACCAGAAGCCACTCGGGGCGAATACCGGTGACTGTTCGAATGTACTGCTTCGAGGTGAGGACGAACTCGTTGTACACCACCCAGTCGTATCCAGTCTTCAGGACAGTGCTGGGGTGGAGCATGACAAGCTGGTCGTCCTTGATGGTGCGATACGTCTTGCCGTTCGCCTCCTTCATGGCAACTTGCATGAAGAAACCTGCTAGAAGTGCTCTTCGGATGTTGGTGTAGTAATTCTTGTCCTCGAATGGCGTGCTGATCAGCTCGACTCCGTGCGTCTCCATGATCCGCTTCAGCTGTGACCGGACGTCGTCTGCGGTAGTCAAATGACGCTGCGAGAGGAAGTGCTCGTGGCACCACTTCTTCATGTCCTCGCCCTGGGTCATCTTGCCTTTGAAGGCATGGTACGCGTTGAGCAGGGTCAGGTGGTCGCCCTCAGGATGAGCAAACAGCTCCTTCATCTCGTCGGCTCGCCTCCTGTTGCTGTTCGGGCGAACGAAGATTTGAGGCACAGACAGGAGCGCGGTGATAGAGAGCATCTCGTTGGAACAGTAGAATTCGGGCGAAGAGATAAGCATGACGGCAAGAGCTGGATCCAGAGGGAACTCGGAAGCTAGGCTGCCAAGCTGTGTCAGTTCGCCATCGTCGTCGAGACATGCCAGATAGTTCAACTCCTCGAGCGCACGCATCATTGTCTCCGGAGCCGGGGGGTCCATCAGATCAAAATGCACCAGATCTTCGACTCCAAGCTTCTTCAACTCTAGCACGGTGTTTGCCAAGTTAGACCGCAGAATCTCTGGGTATGTCTGCTCAATGAGCTCCTTCTTGAACGCCTTTTCTGTGTACAACCTGAAACATTTACCAGGCCTTGTTCGACCAGCTCTGCCAGCTCGTTGTTGTGCCGAAGCTTTAGAAATAGGAGAGACGAGTAAAGATTCAACCCTGATTCGAGGGTTGTAGATCTTCTGCTTGCTGAAACCAGGATCAACGACGTACACGATTCCATCGATTGTCAGCGAAGTTTCGGCAATATTGGTCGAAATAATGCACTTCCGTCCCGGACGACCACCCTTCTGAAGAGGCTCCGGAGCCTTGTCAAATATGCGTTGCTGTTGCGCGGGTGGCAGAGTACCGTATAGGGGGTAAACGACCATCGGTCCGGCGTCTGACTCTCGAACCATCTCGTCTACCTCCAAGCGAATACGTCGACAGGCATCCTCAATCTCCTCTTCACCGGTGAGGAACAGCAGAATGTCACCTTCGGCTTCTGTGGCGTGAATCTGAAGCACCGTTCGTATCGATGCCTCAATATAGTCCTTCTCGGCCTCGGGTGTGTAGAAGATCTCGACTGGATGTGTACGACCAGGCACAGCAAGGAGCGGCGCATCGTAGAAGTAACGCTGGAACTTTTGCGCGTCTAGAGTAGCCGACATGATGATGATCTTGAGGTCTTTGCGTCGCAGAGCAATCTGCTTGAGAAGTGCCATCAGAATATCAGTTGCCAGGGTTCTCTCGTGCGCCTCGTCGAGAATGATGCAGCTGTATCGGGTCATATCGTGGTCGTGCATGGCCTCCCGGAGAAGCTGACCATCGGTCATGTACTTGAGAACAGTCTTGGGTCCAGTTTTATTCTCGAAACGGATGCTGTATCCAACCTCCTCTCCGAGACTCACGTCAAGCTCGTCTGCCACACGCTGCGCAACTGACATGGCTGCCACTCGTCGCGGCTGCGTGCAGGCAACCAGCTTTCCATGAAACTGTGGCAGCTCGTCATACAGAACGTATTGTGGAATCTGAGTAGTTTTTCCCGAACCAGTCTCACCAACAAAGACCATAATTTGCGTGCTGTGGTAGATGTCGAGGAATTCCTGCCGTTGCTTCTGGACGGGGAGGTCCCGCCTCGTCTTGAGGATCTTGAAGTATTGCTGTGAGTGCACCTCTCCCGTCCAGGCGTTCAGGTCGTTGTCCTCGATCTTCTCCGCCTGTTTCGCAGTGGTCTCGTGGCGCGTCACGCCGTTAAACAGGGGCCAGGCGCTCGAGTTCCCAAAGCCCTTTTTCTCCTCAGCCTCGTACTGGTGGGCGAGATATGGGTTGTAGCCATCCTTCTTTTCCGACTTGACCGGCGCCATGTCGTCGGAATCCTGCTTAACTCGCTTCATCTTGGGTGAGGGTGAATCGTCAGCGCTTCTGCGCTTGATGGGCTTGGACAGGTCAGCCATGGTTGTTTGCTCCCATCTAGGCAAGGCAGTAGAGTGTGCCAAATGTTTTGGTTTTGTTTGCGACTGGGAAAATTTTGGTAGTGGCGAGGTCCGACGAATCAGGTGTCTTTTTGATAAGATAAATCCGTATCGATAAGATTGCCGCCAGCGTCGAAAACTCTCCGTTGGAAAGAAGGCAGTCGCAATGTACTTGGGCACAAGAGACACGGCAACATTGGAGCAAATGTTATTTATACCTAAAAAGTGTTGGCTTCGAGTGAGATTCACTCGCTTTCTTCATTGCTCGAGAAGTTAAAACTTCTCGATGTCCCAGGTTGGTAGGTTGATATGTTAGATGCCTGCATGTATGAGGGGCTCACAGCTTAAAGAACTACCTAGGTATAAGAGTTGATACATCTAACACTGGCCAAATTTCTCCAGCTGCATTTCACAGATACATATTTTCGCATTTAAAAAACTTCAAATTGATTTCAAGAATTGTTTAAAAGAAGAACTAAGCTGCATAGAGTGTGGTGACACTGAGAGCCTCAACTTTTCCACACGTGACTTCTCGAGGCTTAGGTAGGCAGGTACTTAAGTAGAGTGGTTTTATGCCCGGTCCCTGAAGCTCGAAATTTGCCCTGAAGCCCCAGGTACCCCGGATTTGCACTTGTGTGAAAATACCTGCGCGCGGACAAATCAGCCGCCTTTCAACACATTTTGTGTGTCATCGGTTACACCGAGCCTCATCCACATCAGGGCTCAAAGGAAAGGCGGTGATTAGCCTCAATGATGGAATCCGTGGGTATTTCTTCATGTATTGAGACTGCGTTGTCTCCTTGAAGCTGGACTGCATCATCAAACTCGGTCAACCTGCCTCAACTTGTCATCCCTCACTTGAAACAAGAAAGACAACCACCATACCGGCTGGTAATATTACTCGAAGAGCCCACCTTAAAAACACATCCGTATCATAATGGCCATGGAAAGCAGTCTCAACCCGGAGTCGGATGACTTCAATCAGGCCAGACCGAATTTCTTCATCGGTCAACACGACTCAGACAGAGTTGAGGCTCTTACAGACGGTCAATATGCCCAGGTGCTCAATGCTGGTGTAAGTAGCAATTCATAACAATTCCATACCATAATCCCCTTCATCGATCTAATGGCTCATAGTATGGATTCACTACTGCACCGGTAACCAGTGTGCACTTTTTAAACCGGGTTATAGACTTGTACAAGGCGCATAAGCAGAAGGTGGCAGAGCTTGACCTTCCAGAGAGCGCAAAGTCTAACCAGTCTCTACCGGGACCAGTGGTGCCAACTCTCACCAACAAAGATACATCACTCTTTCCCAGCAACTATGTCACTGCTTTAGTGGCGTATTCGAGCCCGTGGATTGACCTTTGCTCACCGGATCCGCTGATTTCCAGCATATCTCGCCAGGCGTTGAATCTAGAGGTTGCCTATGCCAACTTCTGTGGTGTGAGGAGCATCATTATTCCCGGCCCCAGGAAGGACAGTAGCGGCAAAGAGGTTGCTCAGTATGCGCGCGCAATCCAGGAGGCATTTCTCGTGGCAAGCAGGGTCAACCTCATCATTCATATGCCCATGTATAGGGAGCCTGGACTGGAGGAAGTATCCGAAACACTCACGGACAAGATCCACGGGAAGAAGGACAATGATAACGAGACAGCAACTGAGATCGATCTCTTTGGTGCCTGGGACAGCTGGCACACTATACGTTCGATTTGCAATTATAATATCCGGTTATTCGTTGGTAAGTCGCCCTTGGGCAGATTCAAGAAGCCATCCACTGACACCTCCCCTAAGCATTGAGGATACCCAAGCGTCTTCCAGAGAAGGAGCTACAGACTCGATGGTTTGCAGAGCCGTTGCATTATCTGACGTTCGGGCCCTCTGCCTTCTTGCCAAACCGAGCGGGACATCCTTCTCTCAGCCGTCACCACCAGGACTTGATCAACAATTACATGCGCCTGAAGAATGCGCCCTGGATTATTTTGTACGATGTAGGACCGACAGCAGCCGAGATCGAGACTGCGATGAGCGGTGTGAACATTATGAGTACAGATTTTCCAACTCTGGACCAGGCGCATACGGCTCTGAAGCGGTCACTTGCCATACAGAATGCGCACGTCTCCTATATGAAATACTTGGAGCGCCAACAACCACCGCTTACTCTGCTGGAGAACAGCACACTCACAAGTTTCCAAGACTGGCTCCAGTCTCCCCTGCAGCCTCTGTCGGATAATCTCGAGTCGGCAACTTATGAAATGTTTGAGGGTGACCCTGTCAAGTACAACTTGTATGAAGAGGCCATCACAGCTGCAATGGCCGAGTGGAAGGAGTTGAAGAAGCCAACTTCGTCGGTGCCATATGACAACAACACTAAGCCTGCGCAGCCGGAACTCATTGTCGCCGTTGCTGGTGCCGGCCGTGGGCCCTTGGTGACTCGTGTCCTGAGGGCAGCAGAGCGTACCAGCACACCGATCCAATTATGGGCTTTGGAGAAGAACCAAAATGCTTATGTCTACCTCCTTCGTCAGAATGAACGCGAATGGGGTGGCAAGGTCAAGGTTGTCAAGACCGACATGCGAGACTGGCCGGGTCCTGTGCCCGATGGCTATAACGACGTCATCACTACAAAGGTCGACATTCTAGTCACAGAGCTGTTGGGCTCGTTTGGCGACAACGAACTGTCACCCGAGTGTCTCGATGGAATCCAGAAGCACATTGCGAAGCCGCACGGAATTTCCATCCCGGAGTCTTACACCGCATGGCTCAGCCCGATCTCTACTCCGCGTATCTTCACCGACCTCAGTTCTCGTGTCATCGGTGACGCGAACGCTTTTGAGACTCCGTGGGTGACACGGCTCTACCAGATAGACTTCGTCTCCCAAAAGGTGCCGGACAAGCCACGATTCCAGCAAGCGTGGGAATTCATACATCCAGTTCAGCACTCACTCATCGAAGAATGGGAGGAGGAACATGGCGACCCAGCCCCGCGACTTCGGACGCTGGGAGGCGGCGCCATGAACAACTCTGGCGGTCTCAACGAACACAACACACGGCACTGTCACTTGACCTTCTACTGCCGGCCGCGCGGCGTCATCCATGGCCTGGCGGGCTTCTTCGAGTCGACTCTATATCGGCCGCAGGTGGAGGGCAGGGATCTCATCGAGCTCAGCATCTTGCCAGAGCAGATCGACAAGAAGAGCAAGGACATGATCTCTTGGTTTCCCATTTTCTTTCCCTTGAAGGTACGAGCACGGCCCAGAATCCCCTGATCAAGTTGAGAGAGACACATATTACTAACATATCATAGACACCCCTGTACTTCCCACAGGACTCAGAGCTAGAGGTTAGCATGTGGCGGCAGACAGACGATACCAAAGTCTGGTATGAATGGAGGGTGGAGGCGTTCACGTATATCGGCCCCAACCAGCGTGTTAAGGTTGGGGCCTCGGAGTTGCACAGCAGTCGCAAGGTTGCGTGCCTGATGTAGTTTTGCTCGGCCTGAAGGATGCCAGTGAACTCTGGTCTGATATTCGATGTAGTCGGGGTGGTTGACTAAACAAAAAAGCTTTGCTTTTCCCTTTGCCCTTTTCAGCATCTAAAAACCTGCCGTCACGACGACGGCACGCCGTAGGACCTATGATGAAGCGGCCTACAAAGCCCATCCAAACAAACGCCGTTCCAGTAGTGTGGTATATGTAGATCCCACTCAGCCTCAAGTGCTCAACTCAACTCTAGGGTTTTCTGTCCTGTCCTTCGCGACGATTATTGAGCTTGCACGTGGTGTATGCTCTCGTTTTTGTATGAACTGCGCCCCTTCATCCCTGCATCTTCGTGTCACCATTCTCGCCCTGATCAGCGCCCCTGATCCATAACACGTTGTTACATCGGATGAGAACCTGGCCCAGCGAGCCCGTGAAGTTGTGGTTGATGTACTCCTCGGCGTTGCTTAGCTGCACGTTCATATAGCTGTCGATGCTGACCAGCCTGCCCTTGTACTCGGTCTCGCCCCACTTCAAGCGCACGAAGACGTCCTTGTTGACACTGCAGATCATGTTAGCATCTTGTGTGCATTGCGGCTACGGTAATGCAGGGAGGCACGCGACGACAGCCTGCCTTGTTGTATGGGAAGCGAACGTACAGGTCTTGCAGCATCGGCCGCGGGTTGACGGGCATGAACTGCGAGAATAGCGATGTCAGCAGCTACATATGTCTTGAGTCCGGGCTACAGAGACTTACACTCATGATGGGCGGCTGAGGTGGGTTGTAATGAACGTGGTGTTGTGACTTTCCTCGTTGCGACGTGCAAGTTTGGTGGGAGCTATGCCGAAAGGTCAAGCGCGGTGAGCCAGATTTTTTGGGCAGGGATACTCGGTGAGGACGGTGAGCGGGCGGTGAGGGGTTCAGAAGACGGCAAAACGTCAGCTCCAAACCCCGCCGACGTTTCTTACGCTATTCCCCAGCCTTAGGCGGTGTACAGTATCACACAGCACTTATAACGTTCATGCATGGCAGTAAAACGGAGGGGTCTAGGCCTACAAGGCCGTCTATTATGTGGTCTGACAGCTGCTGCAGCCCCCTAAGCAGGGTGCAATGCCGCATGGCAGGGCCTAATTAAATCATGCATTGCCGCATGCGAACGCTTCCGTTGACTCGATCCAGTTCCTATCGCACCCGACTCCGGGCTCCGGCTTCAATGCAATGCGATCTCTGTAATTTATTACATCCAATCCTGTTCGCAGACCGCCAAAAATGCTGCCCAACAAACTCGGCCCTGTAGCAGGGACGCCCCTGCACTCGCCTACGCGTGTGAAGTGGCCTGGCCCAGGCTTGCAGCTGCCCAGGTGTCAGCAGCCAGTCTTCAGCACGCTCGAGTGGTCCGAGGATGACGCCCAGACCGAACTCCACGCGCCGTGGCTGGAAATGTCCAAGGTCATTGCAGGTAGCTGCCCAAGGCTCCATTGATCGTCATGATACTCTTCTCAGTCACTGGCTGCCTCTCAGTACCAATCCCCACACTCGGCCTCGAGGACCTCTTTCCGCCACGAGCACACCTCACCGGCGACGTGTCTGCATAGCTCGAACGGGGCGTCGGGGTAGGCGCGCTCCTCCGCCAGGCCATAGTGGCTGCATAGCAGGCCGACGGGAATGCAGAGCTTGAAGTTGGGCACGTCGAGGTCCAGCAACTCCCGCACGTAGTATGCCTCGAGGTCGGCGTCGCCCGTGTCCATGCTGAGGCCGATATACAGGTTCTGCAGGCCACGCATACGCGTGAGACTCCGACACAGACGCGGCCAGGCGGCGCGAATCTGTGGCCGGCCCATGTTGCTGTTGAGCCAGCCGCTGTCGTCCCAGACCAGCTTGATCGAGCGCACCAGCTCGAGGCATCGTAGGGGTGCCTGGCTGAAGAAGCGGTTCGTTATGCTGATGCCGCGCAGGCGGAAGAAGGTTTCCGAGTAGAGCACCTCGACGGCCTCGTCGTAGCTATGAAACGTTGTTAGATTCGCTAAGACAAAGGGCACCCTCATAGAAGTATCGAAGCCTTACACTTTGTGACATGTGAGTAGAAGTGGAAAAACTCTGTGATCGTAGTGTTGTTCGCGATGGCGGAGCTGCTTCTTCATCGGGCCCTCCGTACTCCATGACGGTCTTAACTTGGGGAAGAGTTGTGGTAACGAAAGCCCGTTCTCCTTGTCAAGACTGACAAAATGTCCTTCGTCGAAAAGGACATATTCGTATATGTGTATGCGTAATTCGACAGGGAACCAGTCTAACAGAGGGCAGCATTCGCATTTGCCCACGCACTGGGCAAGGCTTGTTGAAGATTCTGATTGTTGTAACATCTTGATGGTTGAAGGCATTCTCTGAAGGGGTTTCGAAGAGCAGAATGCTTTCGCAAGATGAAGGGGACGAGGTAAGGCTGAAGTAGAGAACTAAATTGAAAAATCAAGATCGCAATAACTCACTGACTCGGCAAGATGGGCAGTGCAGCTGGCTGGGATTTATGCGTCAATGGCCCAACCCGCACCCGAGGTCAGCCACCCCCGGTCCCGGTCTGGCGATCCAAGTCTAGATCTCCGCCCTCCTGAGTGGTCAATGGATGATTTGCACGAAAAAGTTTCGCAGGGAAAATTTGCAGCATGAACATTAGGCAGGGAATTGATTTTCTATATTTCTCCGACCTGCATTATCCCACGGCGGCCTCGCTCGTCACATCAGAATAAGATTAGTTCCGTATATACACACTTCATTAAGAGTGGGGTCCCCGGTCCAGCCCTTGGCTCCCGTCGACAAAGCCCGGGCGGCCTTCCGTTTACACCTGATTGTAGAAATCCAGCAATCTCCTGGCTCCGTCTTCCCATTGCACGTCGTTTTGCATATGGTGGCCGGCCAATGGTATCACGGTGAATCGTACACCATGCCCAGAATCGTCTAGACGCAGACGCCCCGCGATCTTCTGAACTTCGTCATCCATCGCCTCGAGCTTCTTCTCCCCGACTAATTGGGTGAATGCCGCTCGATAGGATGCCGCCAGCTTCTTCATGATAGGCACTCTCATCAAATTGTCACCGCCCCCGGCGAGCACTAGAATTCTCTCGCCAGTGCTCCAGCCGGTGATTTGCTGGATGACGTTCTTCGTATTGATGAATGGTCGCATCATCCCAATTGGCCACCAGAAACTCTCATATGCATTCAAGCGGCTCTGAAATTGTGTGAGATATGAATCGGAAACCAGATAGCTGAAGAATGCTCTCTTCGTCAAATCTGGGTGCGACAAAGGCGAGTTGGGATGCCATCCGTGTAGGATCATCCTCAGGGTGAAGAGGGGATCGAGACGCCACCAATTGAAGTAGACTTCATACCTGAGCGTACAGATTAGTTTGATCTCATGAGGTTCATTGCAGACAAACTCACGATCCAAAGCCGGGGACTGCCCCTTCTAATACCAATCCTTTGATCTTGATGTCCTTGTTGGAAAGCACGAGCTGGCTCAGGCCTCCGCCGCTTGAGTGACCTACCAGGACTACCTGTGAATTCTCTCGTCCTTCTGCCCATCTGATGCTAGCAACTAGGTCAGAGGCAAGTGCTCGTTTGGTAGTCCCGTAGACCATGCGCAGGAACGACGGCTGCCAGCTCTCTCCGTGGCCTCTCAGCGAGATCGCATAGCATGGGATGCCTTGGGAGGAGAAGAATTGTAGATATTCGAACCACACCCATGCGCCTCCCATTCCTCCATGTACAAAGAAGAGAGGCGTTGCGCCCTGTCTGGTCGAGCCCGTCGGGGCAGCATATAGGATCTCCAGAAGCCCACTTGGTGTTTCTATGAAGAGACGCTCTACTCCGTCAGGGAGGGCAGGCGGTGGTGCATTTGATGGCCTCCACCGGATCCATTGATAGCTGAGATGGAGGTCGAATGTGGCCTGTACTGAGTATACTGCGCGCCTGAAGAAGACCTTTAGAATGTTTGGTTGTGACATGACTTTGTATACGCCTTCCCTTTCAACGTTCAAGTGTTATCTGAAGCATAAGGCCATCCTTGATGGAAAGCTGGAGAGTGCGAGCGGCGGCCCTACTCGCCTGGGCCAGCTGAAAGATGGGCGCCATCGCCAAGCAATTTGGTATCTTAGTGGCGCGCGGCTCTATTCGAGACATCCTTGTTGGAGAGAGGAATACTGATTGACACGCATCTGATAACTGCGTACTTAGTTGAGTCAAAGATCAGGCTTCGTATGACTCAACCGATCTTACTGCATACTGCAGCTTGATAATGCCTCCTAGTAGGATCAAGATGCTCGATGCTCATTCGAAAACGGCCTTGGAAGCCTGGAGTACTAGTAGAATAATGTTAGTCACATACCTCCCTGACTGTAGTGCTCGCACTGGAAGGAGGTGCCATTTAGTGCCATGTCCCTAGAGACATCACTGCGACAGACATCTGACCCGCTATAATCAGGGTCGGCTACTGTGCCTTCCTCGCAACTCAGCACAATGCACGCGCTAAGAACGGCAGAATTCAACGTCAATTGTCATCAGCGACAGCCTCGACATTCTCTAAAGCTGCGGATACATAAATGCGGATCAGAGTGTCTCTGAAAACCCATCTCAATTTGACACATTCTACTTCTGCAACTCGGCCGGAATAGCAAGCTCACACCAGGCTTAACGATTCTCCGTGATGGAGAATCCATCCACTTCACAGGCACCAGAAGGTCTCGAAACAGAGAACAACACTAAGACTTTTGAGAGCCAAGGCGTCCGCGTCGCAGTTGAGGGATGCGTAAGTCAAATATCAGGCACCAATATTGCAGTCAGATTAACAAAGAACAAATAGGGTCATGGAACTCTCAATGCCATTTACGCAAGTGTCGAAACAGCTTGCAAAGCTAGAGGATGGGAAGGCGTAGATTTGCTCATCATTGGTGGTGACTTTCAGGTATGTCAATTGTCAGCCATGACTGCTCAAGAGCCAAGCTGATATACTCGACAGGCTACCCGCAACGCAGCAGACCTGAGTGTGATGTCTGTGCCTCTCAAGTACCGCAAGCTTGGCGACTTCCATGAGTACTATAGCGGTGCTAGAACTGCGCCATACCTCACCATCTTCGTGGCTGGAAACCACGAAGCGAGTAGCTATCTATGGGAGCTCTACTATGGCGGCTGGGTCGCGCCCAACATCTACTACATGGGCGCCGCCAACGTCCTCCGTCTTGGGCCTCTACGTATCGCGGGCATGAGCGGCATCTGGAAGGGTTTCGACTACCGCAAGCCGCATCATGAGCGTCTTCCCTTCAGCAGGGACGACATCAAGTCTTTCTACCACGTGCGTGAGGTAGACGTGCGCAAGCTGCTGCAGGTACGGACGCAGGTGGACGTGGGTATCAGCCACGACTGGCCTCGGGCAGTCGAGCGTCACGGCGACGACAAGCGGCTCTTCAGCATGAAACCAGCATTCAGACAAGAGTCCTTAGATGGGACGCTGGGCAACCCGGCTGCAGAGTACGTCATGGATAGGTTGCGGCCTGCTCACTGGTTCTCGGCACATATGCATTGCAAGTTCGCGGCGATCAAGACTTATCCGCCTCCGGAGGCGCCATCCACATCCGAGGCCCCGGTTGTTGAACAGCCAGCCTCTGCCGTTGAGACGGGAACAGCCCAAGAGGCCAACCCTGACGAGATTGATTTGGATATGGATGATGAAGAGGTCACACTAGTGGCACAGGACGGTAACAACTCAGTCTCTGCGAGCAAAGCTCCTGAGGCTGGGAACGGAGTATCTGAGGAGCTTCGTGCTCAACTACCCGCATCCTTTGTACAGCCGAAGAAGCAAGAAAAGAAAACCCCAGGTCAACCAGTTCCTGCTACCATCACCAACACAACCGTCCGCTTCCTTGCGCTAGACAAGTGTCTTCCAGGACGAAAGTTTCTGCAGGTATGCGACCTCGAGCCCCTCGATCCTACGCAGCTCGCACAGCATCCGCCATCCTCTGGCTCTCCGCGCTACAAACTACAATACGATCCCGAATGGCTAGCAATCACCCGCGCCTTGGCCAAGGAGCTCATCATCGGTGACCGGACAGCACAAACACCCCCTGATCTAGGAGAGGAGCAATACCTACCTCTAATCGAGACCGAGCGGGCATGGGTGGACGAGCACATCGTCCAGAGGGGCAAGCTCGAGGTGCCGGAGAACTTTGTGATCACGGCGCCGCCTCACGTGCCCGGGGATCCCGAATCAGTCGAGGATCAGCCAGATGAGTATACAAATCCCCAGACGGAGGCGTTCTGCTCGCTTGTGGGAGTGCCGAATCTGTGGGATGCGAGCACAGCCGAGAGGGAGGAACGCAAGATGCAAGGGCCGCCTGCTGAGACCATGACAAATAGAGGAGGCTTCGGTGGCCGTGGGCGAGGTGGACATGGGAGAGGCGGCGGCAGAGGTCGGGGTGGAGGAAGGGGAAGAGGTCGTGGATGGCGCTGATCTATGATCAAGAGAAGGGAGGTTTCAAGGGTTAAATGGGTTAAAAAGGTGAATTATGTCTATGAATTTCTAACGGCATGGAGCATCATTGAATTAATACCCTCTATCATTGTCTGCGGATTATGTCTCAGAGAATAAATGCGCGTATTTGTCGACCGGTATCACGAAGTGGGGTGAGAGAGGATGTCTCCCCTCTGAAAAAGCGAGATCTCAGTGTGGAATTCGTTGAGTCAAGCAGAGTGTGGGGGATATGTCAATCTTCCATCCGTTATAGACATTCAACACATGGAAACAAAGTTCTAGTTGAACGCATATGCTTAGATGGGGTTCGGTGATAGATAATTGGAATGGGGAGAACAACATCTTAGGGTGAGCGACGCTCAACTACTCACTTGTTGAGACAAAAGGAATAATTCTTGTAGCAAGAGGTCAAGAACATGCAGCTTATTGAAAGCCCAGTGCCCAGATGCGCGTGAAGATCGTTAGATTGGGTATTGCTGTACATTTTCATCATACATTTCGTTTGCCTAACAACAACCAACCTGTGCGCCAAACGCCATATAATGCAGCCGAGATGCCATCTCTAGAATCATACATAGTGGTCCATTCATACTTGTTCTGTAAAACTGTTAGTTGATATGATCCGATGATATTCAGAAGAGGAGGGGACCGTACTATCCAGCCCGAGGAAATCCGCCGCCATCAAGAGCTCTAGGCAAAGATGGGTTGGGATCTCCATATCGGGGACATCTTCCTTCTCTCGGTTCTGATACCAGTAGTGGAAGTACTCGACAACCTTCTCCAATACGACTCCGCTATCGACACGTTAGCTGAAGCCCCCAGGTATAAACGAAAGCTGTGAGCCAAGGATGATGGCGCAGGATGTCTCAGATCAAGTGTAGTTCAACGCTCACCCAGCCCATCCATGAAGCGGATGTTCTGTCAGAAAGAACGCAGCGAAATAAATGCATTTCGTCATCGACAGGATCGGGGATCTCAGGTCGGAAGGGGGGAAGAAGACGAGGAGGGAATTGGAAGCCTTACCTGATCTCCTCGAAGACGCAGCGCCCGGTCAGGGCCTCTTGAAACTGGCTTCTGGGATCCAGCATGCCCTTGATGATGGGACTGATCATCGCTGCGTCTCGTGCAACCACATACTCGAAGCCATCGCCCGACACGAGGGTGATGTATCTGCTAGCCTTAATAGCAGCCATCTTGACCGTGAAGATGGACGTGAGGGCGGCTTGGTATTTTGTGGGTAGAATATGATCTCAGATGTGCTTTTCAGAAAGTAGCTCGCCGGCAAGCGTAGAACGAGAAGGGGCAGTTCTCATGAAGAAGTCTGCCTGCCTGTCTGCCTACTGGATGCGTGGTAGCATTCCCTGCAGCGGACCTGGATCAGACCGAACAGTTGAGAAAGAGACAAACACGCCTTTGTGCACGAAGCTTCGCGGTGAGATGAAAAAATTAATTGGCAGGCAGCTTGCGCACAGACCAACCTTGTAGCACCCCCTGGGCAGCCCGTCCCGGAATAAATGGTGTATGGTGTGGACCCCACTATATTTGGGGCAATTAAGTCATTTGGCGAGGTCGCGCCTGCATGCCGGTTGCCCAGTGCGACTGTTGACTGAGCACCCCCATCCGGCCTGAGTTCAACAGTCAGTCAGTCCCATCTGCCTGCCTGTCTATCTACCAAACCCAGTCCAGACCCTCACATTCCACATTCCTCCCGTCGCAAAAGCAAACTGCGCAACCTCATCCCTCATCTCAGGTCAGCATCGCCATTTGCCTGAGCACCTTGATCTTATCATCTTGGAACTTCAACTCTAGAGTTTGCATCATCTGTATCCGATCCACAGTGCTCGCAACTACCGGCTGTTTCCCCCCGCCGTCTGAACGGGGCCACTGCTATGGCGTCGTCCTACCAGTACCGCAATTCTTATTACAACAGCCAGCCGATCCAGGAGAAATACGATTCTGGAATGCAGCGTCGCCCCACAAGGGACCGCCGGACAGACAGGACGACGCGCTCCAGCGATGGGACTGTCAGCACAATGATGACTTCCTCCACAGGCAGAGAGTCCTCCGGGACGCACATGACGGAGGCGCCCGCCTTCTCCAAGAAGATTGTCGTCGTCGGTGATGGAGGATGCGGAAAGACCTGCCTGCTGATTAGCTACAGCCAAGGCTACTTCCCAGAGGTGCGCTGAATCGTCAACGTCCAGTTCTCTCCGGGCGCTTTAACGATACTTAAGATCACGATGCTAATAGCTGCTGCAGAAATACGTCCCGACGGTGTTTGAGAACTACATCACATACCCTACACACCCTCCCACCGGTAAGACCGTGGAGCTTGCTCTATGGGATACTGCCGGCCAAGAGGAGTACGATCGGCTGCGACCTCTCTCGTACCCTGAGACCGACCTGATATTCGTGTGCTTCGCTATCGACTGCCCCAACTCATTAGAGAATGTCATGGACAAGGTGCGTTAACTTTCTTGGGCCTCAATGAATCAGCCTTCTAACAATTTGTAGTGGTACCCCGAGGTCCTTCACTTCTGCCCCTATACACCTCTCATCCTCGTCGGCCTCAAGTCTGACCTTCGATACAAGAAGACTTGCATCGATATGCTCAAGACCCAGGGCCTCACCCCCGTCACCACAGAACAAGGCCTTGCCGTCGCCCAAAAGATGGGCGCCCAGTACATGGAGTGCAGCAGCAAAGAGATGAAGGGCGTGGACGAGATCTTTGAGCGAGCCATCCTCACAGTCGTCGCTAATGACCGAAGGAACCAGGAGGCGCAAGCTCAGGCCATGGGCGGCGGCGGCGGCGGTGGTGGTGGTGCAAACGACAATGGCGGCAACATTCCCGGCATGGGTCGTCCTAAGAAGAAGAGAAAGTGCAACTTCTTATGAGTAACTCAACTTACTCGATGAGGTGTTGACTTTGGGGGAGACGAGAACATAATGACCTGCTGCATGATTTGACATGACCTCTTTTTATGACCAGGAGAGAGTGTATTGGATCGGCGGAGTGGGTCGGGCGACGAGGTGTTGGGCCATTGGACATTGATGGCCCATTGACGGCGACTGTTGGATCACTTCTCCTTCGGCCTTGGAGCCCGTCTAGAGCCTTCTTCTATTATGACCTTTAATACAGGTAGACAGGAAGAGGGAAGGGGTGTTTTTTTGGCGTTGCCTCTCAAGCAACAGGGCCGGACACCATGACATGGTGTCTGCATTGGCGCCGCCGACGAACACGGGACGTTTTTGCCGTACACAACTGTATTCATGGACACTTTCTATAGGGACAATTTTCCTTTGTAGTATGAGTTTCTTTATTCTTCCTGCACAGGGCGCGGGAGAGGACATAAATAAAGCACATCTTGAAATCCGCCTCTAATGCATGTATTCGTGAATGCTTCTGTTGTCCTCTAGGTCATGGGGTATCATATTCCTTCTCGTCCAACGTGTATCATGGTGACTCGTTCTTTGACCGATCACCTTCACCCTCGCCCTCGTTCTCCGTCTTGCCCTCCTCCGGATCCCTGGCCATGACGTTCTCAAACTGCGACCAGAGCGCCTCGACCGAGGAGAACTCGTTGCCGACCTGAGATGGCGGGGGTTGGTTCATCAGTCCTGTGGGGTTCATGCCTTGACCAGGGGAGGGAGGGTATACACACCGCAATGACGGCCTCCAGCGACCGGTTCAGCTTGTTGATGTTGGCGAGCACGTGCTCGAAGCTCTGGGCGCAACGGTGGCTGTCAGTCGGTCATGCATGGCTGGCTGCTGGCCCGTTCTGGGCATTTGAAATGCTGGCGATTGATTGATTGCAAGAGGGGGTATAACAAAACGCACGCACCATGGCAATCTCGCCGATGAGCGCCTCGCGCTGCTGCTCGAAATACGTCTTCTCGCGCGCCCCGGTCGCGGAGCTCGATCGCGCGCGGGATGCCATCGTTTTGCTACAGACGTTGCGGTGGGATGGGGCTTGTGAAGAGAGAGAGAGAGAGGGGGGNNNGGGGGGGGGGGGGGGGGGGAGCTGATGTCGCGTTGCGGTGCGCGCTGTGGTAAATGGGAATTGGTGGGGTTGTTGTTTATAGGTATAGGTATTTCCCGACGGGTGGTTTCTTAACAGAGCCCCATCACTCTACTACGTACGCAGTAGAGATTCTGTAAGAATGGCAAAAACAGCTTTTAGGATCGCCAATTATACCAGAGAGAGAAAGGCACAAGAGATGCCATCTCAAGAGGCAGGCAGAATGAAAGAATTGCCTTTCTCTTCTCGCGATGCTTTTCAGGAGAATGGATCATCTAGGATTGCTCTGAATGATCAACTCCATGACGAACTTTCCTTACGCACCTACCACTAGGTAGTCTCTGAAATAAGCATGAAGAGGCATTGCCACAACTTGGAATGATGTCAATCACATTGTGGAAGATTTCATCGCGAGTAAAGTTCAAGGTCAGTGGGTATTGTGCTCTTTCAAGGCGATCTCGTACCCCACGCCAAACACCGACCCGTCCGAATAGGTACAGCATCAGAGGGTTTACAAAATAGCGGCCGAGCAACAGATGGTTACTAGCCGTGAGACAAGAAAAAGGAGAGATGGATGTTGAAAGGCTGTAAACTCTCCAGTCCTTTTGATATCATCCATGGTCATGGCTGGTCTTATGCATCTTTTTTTTAGAAAGTTATGCACGCATGGCTTTGAGGTGCATTACATGACGCTCTGCTGGAGCAGATCTGCGATTTTTCGACATGGCAAGTCTACGCGACGACCTCGGCTCCCCAACAGTTTCAGCCACATCGCCGCTCTAAGGAGACGATTGTAGGGCGAGGAATACGACAGATCTCGACTCAGCATCCAGATTGGGCGGGCAGGGCTGCTACAGTATGGCTGAGGCTTGACCGTTATCTCCTGAGTCCGGGGTGCATTAGCTCTGGCGAGACCAATGGGGAGGGGAGAGGGCCGCCGGCTGGCTTCCTTGTTGCCGGGCGGGCGTCAGTCAGCCTTCGAGGCCGGTGCGTGCAGCGTCAAAGCTACCTGGCTGCCTGGGTACGGACGGCGTCTAGATAGCGCGGGCGCTGATCCTCTCTGCTCTGCGCTGTGCCTGTGGAACCGGCCGCCCGCGTGCTCGTGCTCATGCAAGCTTACAAGAGTTGGTGATGGGTAGGTAGGTAGAGACAATGCGTGGCTCCTAGATTGTCCGGAGACAAGGAAGGCGTCCACGGAGAGCCGGAGCATGTCGGACCCGCTCTGGCTCAGCCGAGCGCTGTGCCGGAGGATGATGGTTTGGAGGCACGGGAGGGTCTAGAGGGCCTGGGGCCAATGCTACCTTATCTCTTTCTTCCCTGTGCAGGAGAAGCGCATGCACGCGACGCTACGAGGCATTTCCCAGGTAGGTGGGGGCGTGCGTGTGGGCAAGTGAAACCAGGGCGAGCTTCGCTATCCATGCCCAAGTTCGGGGCGAAACATCGAGCATCTTATCTTCTAGCTGGTGAGACAATCTCGCTCGCTTGACAATGGCCCGAACAACACAATACTTGGGTCTGGAGTCTCATTTATGTACACACAACAGTCGTTACTGAATAAGGGTTCTTGATGGTGGAAGAAGTAGACCAGGATGGGACGGAGACGAATTAGACTCCCCGCGCCGGCAACCGTTGACAAGGAGGCAGGTTGATCCGCCTAACCCAACATTGCCATTGCCATTGCCATACCTAGGCACGGTACTGACTGTGCTACATAGACTGGGTATCTATGGCTACAGTCGACAGAGATGAGATCGGGTGCAGAAAATTATGATTTCTGGCCAGCCATTCAAATGTCCTAGCTACTGCACAGGAGAAAGGGATTATGCAAGGATCATGTCATAGAGAACCTTAGAGAGAAGGGTGAGGGGTCGCAAAAAAATGGGTTGAAGATCTACTATGTAGCTCGGAAATGCGGGGTCAGATGCGTGGGCGTCTACGCGGTGGCGCTGTGCCCTTCTCCATTCATTCTCTCCAGGCGGAGAGCGTAAGAACTCAACTCGAACGACACCCGCCCAATCGCTGGAGAGTCGCCGTCCGTTTCCGGTAAGGGCATGGATGGTCGGCTGGTTGGTTACTGGTTACCAGCGGGTTATCTCCTTTGAGGAAGAGCTCCCTCCCCCCGCGTACCCAACAGGTCTTGAAGGAGATGATTCCATCAACACGCAGGGCGTTTGTTTCATCGCAAGCCAGCGCCGCCATCGGCCTTGGTGCATTGAATTTCTTGGGAACTTTCAACAGGGGCGTCGCAGATATGGAGCTTGCTTACTGCGTATAGGCATAGGCATGCTGCGTGGAGGCAGGTATGCATTCCGCATCTCCACAGGGTGCCTTGGGGTTTGTCTCAATCGCCCTGACTTTGGAACCCCTTGGGGTCTCATCTCCGTTGGTCCATGGTCCATGGGGAAGAAAGCTGTTACGGATTTGTCATCTGACCTGATATACCTAGATTAGTGTCTGTTTGTGCTGCATAGTCCACAGTCTCATCAGCCCGAGGAAGCTCCTCAGATCGGTCGGTGGGGTCCTACGGAGCACTCTGCTGTGTGTCTCCATCCTGAGCCATCCTCCCAGCAGATACGCACACCCGCACCCGCACCCGCATGGCCGGTGTGATGCCATGTGTCTGTCTACTATGTATGGTTCCCATAACGTAGCCCATCTTCGCGGCCGAGGTGCAGAGAGGTCCGGCTTGCTGCGGGGAAAGAAGGAGGTCTGAATTGGCTGCGGGTGGGCCACACCTCACCTGCAGTGGCGAGCGCCATCGGTATTTTGTCTGATTCGCAACACTCCCGACTGCTCTCACTCACGCTCGGAGACGTTGAGGTCTGCGTTACTCCGGCACTCATCAGACCGGCCCTCTCTCCTCTCTTTGCCTTGCAGCACTACCGCAGCAGACTAGTAGACTAGTAGACTAGACCCGTCAACCCGACGGACCATCTGCTTCTTCTCTGGAGCCCGGCAGCCCGGCCAGGACCACATCCTGGAATCCCAAGGTGCTAATTCGGTAGGTCCACCAGCCGTGAGGTCACTCGCAGAGCTCGGTGTGGAGACTCCTGAGACTACCTAGCCAGCTAGCATCAAGGGGAGGCTCGGAGGCTCGCACTGGCGGGAGTAGAGGCTGTGTAGCGTCTGCGTCTGTGTAGCTCCATCTCTACGATGCAGTACAGTACATCGCCCACCAGTGCCACACCCGCCCTCTTGCACCCGAATATACATGTACCTACCTCTGTAATGTATACGTACGGTAATTATTGGCGTTGGCGTCACACACACACACCTCGCTGGCCCTCTCTCTTCAACCCCGTAGTTGACCCCGCTCCAAGCCCCAGTCCCAGTCCCAGTCTGCAGTCTGGGAAGAAGAAAGTAGAAAGCTTCCCCTCCCCCATCGCCACTCTGAACTTTCTATTTGAGCGATCCAGGTCCCTGTTCTCGTGGCTTTCTTTCTCCTATCTCTCCTTCTTCTGTCATCTCGAGTTTTGTTTGGAAAAAGCAGCAGTCTGATACATTACATTATACCCCCACTTACACCCACAAAGTGAAGTACTGTACTCAGACTACCAAAGACATAACCCCATCACAATGTCGAACCTCTTCGTCGAGCTGAAGACGCCAATCTCTGGCACTTTCAAGCAACCTACTGGATTGTAAGGCTTTTCGAGAAAATGTCCCAATTCACAGCTCACACAATGCCAGGTTCATCAACAATGAGTGGGTAGAGGGAGTAGACAAGAAGACCTTTGAGGTCGTCAACCCCACAACCGAGGAGGTCATCTGCTCCGTAGCAGAGGCCACCGAGAAGGATGTCGACATCGCCGTCGACGCCGCCAGGAAAGCGTTCCAGGGCACATGGAAGCAGACCACACCCCAGGACCGCAGCATCATGCTCATCAAGCTCGCCGAGCTTTGCGAACAGAACGCTGACCTGCTCGCCTCCGTCGAGTCTCTCGACAACGGCAAGTCCATCAGCATGGCTCGTGGTGATGTAGCTTCAGTCATTGGCTGCCTGAGATATTATGGTGGTTGGGCAGACAAGATCGAGGGCAAGACCATCGATATCAACCCCAGCATGTTCCACTACACCCGCCAGGAGCCGGTAAGAAACATTTAGTAATCTGTTGTGACCAATTGGCTAATATCTCGTCACAGATCGGTGTTTGCGGTCAGATCATCCCCTGGAACTTCCCTCTTCTCATGCTGGCATGGAAGATTGGACCTGCCCTGTCCACCGGTAACACGGTTGTCCTAAAGACCGCCGAGCAGACGCCCCTGTCCGGTCTCGTGTTTGCTCAGTTCGTCAAGGAGGCTGGTTTCCCTCCCGGTGTCCTCAACATCATCTCCGGCTTCGGCAAGGTCGCCGGTGCTGCCATCTCCTCCCACATGGGCATCGACAAGGTTGCCTTCACCGGCTCCACCATCGTCGGCCGCACCATCATGAAGGCGGCCGCCTCCTCCAACCTGAAGAAGGTCACCCTCGAGCTGGGCGGCAAGTCGCCCAACATTGTCTTCAACGACGCCGACATCGAGAAGGCCATCTCGTGGGTCAACTTTGGCATCTACTACAACCACGGGCAGTGCTGCTGCGCCGGCTCGCGCATCTACGTGCAGGAGGGCATCTACGACAAGTTCATCGAGGCCTTCAAGAAGCGCGCGCAGTCCAACAAGGTCGGCGACCCCTTCGCCGAGGACACGTTCCAGGGCCCGCAGGTCAGCCAGCTGCAGTACGACCGCATCATGGAGTACATCAAGATCGGCAAGGAGGAGGGCGCGACGCTCGAGACGGGCGGCTCGCGCCACGGCGACAAGGGCTACTTCATCCAGCCGACCATCTTCACCAACGTCACCCCGCAGATGAAGATCATGCAGGAGGAGATCTTCGGCCCCGTCTGCGCCATCGCAAAGTTCAAGAGCGAGGACGAGGTCATCGCCCTCGGCAACGACTCCTCCTACGGCCTCGCCGCCGCCGTCCACACAAACGACCTCAACACCGCCATCCGCGTCAGCAACGCCCTCCACGCCGGCACCGTCTGGGTCAACTGCTACAACATGCTGCACCACCAGCTGCCCTTCGGCGGCTACAAGGAGTCCGGCATCGGCCGTGAGCTGGGCGAGGCTGCCCTGCTGAACTACACACAGAACAAGTCGGTAGCTATAAATCTGGGAGGAGCGATTTAAACACTGTCAAACGAGGGGGGGGAAAAAAAGAATGGAAGAATGCTGTAGCGATTATATCCAGGTGATGGAAAATCAATCTCCTGCTGTGCGTCTGCAATGGCGGACCTTCATGGAACTTGAGTCGAATGGACGTGCACTGGGCCATGTATATCAGGCGTATATAGCTTGTTACTCTTGATTATTGCAGCAATTTATTGCTTGACCTCTTCCTTGTTGACCCCATATTGGCTGGTGACAGCAGATCGGATAATGACGAGAGATGTCAGGGCCGTTTACGTCTGTTGCTATGCCTGTAAAAGTCGGGACCGGTGCAAAAGCCACTCCTATAATCGCATGCCACTCAGTACTAGATCACCGCTTCAGGTCACCATGCACATATGCAAGAGAAGAGCTAGTTCGCTTTCTGGAAGTCAATGGATTGGGACAGGTTGTATAGGGTATAGCGAGCTCTATAGGGAGTCTCCAGGACTGGAAGCTATGCTGATGTAGGGACAGTGACATCAGCCTCCATAACTTTAGCAGCCAAGGATAATTTAGAATCGACTAAGCTTGGTATGAGCAATTGTTTTAAGTGCTATAAGAGCTTCCCCCTGATATTATGACCCTAATCTAGCAACTGCTCAAGTGCCATATAGGTAAAGCCCTATTCCACACTCGAACCCTATATTTTGTCCCTCTGGATGTATGAAGTCTTGTCGAATAGCATTGGTATTGTGAGTGCACCGATGACTGAAATTAGGCAAGCCAGTCGATGCGACACTGTCTGATTTGAATTATGTATGCGAGCCGAGCAAGTCGACGTAAGACTGTTCGGCTTTGACGGTTAGAAACGCCATGACCAGATCACTTAGCATTCTTAGCAGCGGTCAACTTTGTTAATGCTTTCTCGTAGTCTACTCGATCTCGGGTTGTGTCATGTTTGAATGCAGGTGTTGCTTCATGCCGCTCTCAGGCTTGAAAGAGTGTTGTTTACACCCAGGAAACGGGCAGACCAAGTCGTTCTCGAGAAGAGCATCCTCAGGTAGTTGGACCTATAGTGCCTCCACACACTCATCCCACCTTTGCTTGGTGCCTTTGATGCTTAGCCCATGAGCTTGTCAGAGGTGTGCCACGCCGATCTCCATGCTCTTGAAGATAGTCGGGATGCGTTCAGCCTAGCATTCTGGGAAAGGGCACTTCAGAGGCGTTGTGACGACCTCATATTGTGGACGTGTGTCGGATTGGGGTATGGCTTCACGTTTGTCGGATTTGCTTCTCGCGCCATTCTTCCTTTTCCTTCTTTGCAGCTTCATGCACAAATGATCAGTTACTCCTTCGAACGAGGCCTTCGCTAGGTGACATCAATTTACGGCTTCTTGAGAACTTCCTGACAGAACGCGTTAAACCGGGTCTTCGAGTTGCCACTCCTGCGCTTGTGCCCACATCTCTCAATGCTTGATGTTTCAAATTCATGCGCACTGACACATCACTTTAGTATGATATTGTTGCACTTCATGAGTATGACACTCGAGGATACTCACTTTTCATGGCGAGTTTCTCATCGGCCATGGCTTCGGGGCTCCGTTTACCGTACTGTAGGAACGGATCATCAGGATCATTGTTGTCAATGATCTCGTACAAGAGCTCGCTAGCAAACAAGATCCTGATCTTGCCATTCACCACTGCTGCAATGGTGGCCGCCGGTCTCCAGGTCCTGTGTCTCAGCTTTTACATTGCAGAACTCAGCGACAAGAGACACGCAGTCCTTTGGCCGTCCAACTGGGGTTCGCTGGCCGCATATGTCGCTACTACGTTGGTGCCACTCTCTACTACTACATCGACCTTGACACATTCCACGGGGATGGGGAGTTGTAGCGGAGTGCTTCGACATAGCGATTCGTGCATCGGGAGATATCCCTGTGAAGTTCGAGCGCGTGTTTGCCCGAGAGGATGCCTTCTTCTCCGTCACCGGATCTAAAGATGCACCCAACAATAGCACCCTAGCCGAGACCTTCTTTCCAAATGATCCACCCGAGTTGTGCTTGGTGAAGATCTATCCGCTGGCGTTCGCGTAACGCGAGGCTATGGTCAACATTCTCTGCCACGAGATCGGGCATATCCTCGGGTTGCGACACGAATTCGCCGCCACTAAGGAGAAGGAGTCATCAGTACTTTGGGGTCTGGCTAATCCAGAGTCTGTCATGAACTATTTTCATCACCCGCTTGAGATGGCTGTACAGGAGTCGGACGTCATGCTCGTCAACGACTTCTACTTCTACTCCGGCGAAACTCTTGAACGACTCCCTATTGATAAAATACGTCCGCTTCCTGGAAGCCATTAAATGTCAAGAAAGGAGAAGGAACACGCTAATGCTTTGATGTGATGCACTTGCCTCAGTGGCTTGGACAGCTTCTGGGTTTTATCCTCTCCGTTGAGTAGAATCTTGTGCATCATATTTTGCGGTTAGTCAGGTCAGAGTCGGTGAGCTCGATATATGCGCGTCAACTGTTGTCTATATGCTTCTCATGTTCCTACATACCCATACAATAGACGTTGATAGAAAATCTCCTTTTGGAGCCAAAAGAATGAAGTTGACTTCCCAGCTAGCCAAAGGCGGTGATAAATGAGACTTGATTGACTTTCGACATGGCCTCACGAACATCCTTATGAAGATATTGGTAAAGCCCTTGACTTCTGAGACACGATCTTCGAAATTTAGGTGAGATAAATGAAGGTAATGCTACGATCAGCTGATTTGTCACCCAGAAGATAAGCTGTTTTGATGGCATGCAGAATGACTTTCAGAAATATATATTCGGATCTTCTTGAACACCTAAATTTACGCTTTTAATTAAATAAATGTTCTAGAATCAACAAACCACACTCTATAGCTTCAAACTCGATTCCACATATTAATACCCGGTTCTTACTTTGTTCAGCGCAAGAACCAATCAGAATCAGCGGCGGTCTCCAAATTTGCCTAAGGAGAAGATCGAAGAGGAAGATACATACTGTATAGTAAAAGCGTGCGAGTCAGGGCAGGTGTTAATAGATTACTAACACCTGCACGGCATAAATGACGACTTAGCAGATAGTATGCTATCATGCATCGACATACGCAAAAAAGCTTTCATTACTTCGGAATATGGCTTCTGCAAGCGTTCAGGAGTGATATGATGTTATTTTGAGTCGTAATACATCATGGCCTGATGAGCTTACCGCATGTATTTGGTGGTGTCGTCCTCAAAGCCTTTATAAAGTCGGAGATTGGGGCTCTTGGAAAGAATTCAGCGCAGCGGCATGGAGAACAATAGCAATCATAGTGAAATGCAACAATGGGACAATAATACAGGCCGAAATAATAAATTGAAAAGGCACATAGAGGGAAAGCAGTCTACAGCATATTTTATCCATATAAATGGCAGCTTGGGGGGGTTCTGCAATGATTTGATTTTCTTCCAAGTGGTTATTTTCAGCCAAATAGGTGGCGGATGTGTATCAGTGACGGGGGCTCGATATAAGGGTTCGGTTCGGCCTTTGTCATCAATTTTTTTCCGGACAAGAGCGACCCAAGACGTAACGACCGAGGTGAGAAGCGGACGCGCAGCGCCGCGCTGAGCGACACAGAGCATATCAAGCGACCGGATGCGATTATTCTGATTGAGTTGCATTCGTCAATATGGCAGACGTTGCCGTAGCCAGTATTCCAGCCGCCCCCGTGGCGACGGAGGGCGCAAGCGGTAAGTCACCGACCGCCTTCCCCAAGCATACGAACAAGCATTGGCATCGATTAAGGATGGCACTACTCCTGATGCATATGTTACTTAGACCTGGAGACTAATGCGACACCAGGGAACCATGATAATAACCCCCAACCGCCCCCAGCATCTGAGGCAGCCCCTAATGAGGCAGCGCCATCGCCTCCGAAGCGACCGCGAACCGAGGAGCCTGGCGAGGATGATGGAGATCACAAACGACTTAAGTCTAATGAAGAGATTGTACCGATGAATCTGGACCTAGGAGCGATGCTCGAGAACGCATTGTTGTCCTTTGAGGAGCCACCACCAGCCAAAGAACCGAGCCCGCCCGTAGAACCGATTCTCAAGCAAGAGACTTTCGAACCTCCCCCAGCACCACCACCACGACGTCGTCCGCCGAAGCCACCGCCGAAGAAGATGATATTCATTGAGAACCCTGTCTACTTCGTGCGAGCTATGAATCTCCAGTTGCTAGGTAATCTTGCTGTTCAGATCCTCCTCGCGCTCTTCCAGCAACCGCGAGAGGACAGCGATCGAGTACTTCGCGTAGAACAATCAGAGGCTGGCAAAGTGTTTAAAGCTCTAAAGGAGACATTTTACCAGCATCTCAGGCTATTTTCGGACTCTACGAAACTCATTCGCGCAGACGATCTTGACATCTCGGAACCGGGCGACCGCGAAACCATAGAGATGGTTAATCTGGCGAACTTTTGTGTTAGTTGCTCATTTGGACCTGGGGGCCCGACAATGGCCGAGATGCACGAGCAGTTTCTCAAAACATTCATACCGGAAGGTGGCGCAATCACCGAAGAGCTTGCGCGGGTCTACTTATCGCAGAAGACGCAGTCGTATCTTGCGTATGCCAAGGTCATAGACGACACCAACGAGGCTAGAGCGCATCTCCTGAACAGATTCTTCCCTGCGTCGCTCGAGGGAACGCTGAAGCATCTGCATTCCGAAGCACAGTTGAGAATTCCTGAAGCGGACTTCGTTGCGCCCTTCAAGGCGATGAGGACGCTCTTGCAGACAGACGGCAATGTTAGCGAGAAGAGAAGTACGATTATGCCCTTGTTTCCCAGTGTCAACTTTCAGCTAACCTTGTGAATCTAGAAGCGCTGGAGGAGAAATACCCGTTTGCAGGCTTTCTCGACGAACTCAGCTCATACATGCGAGCGAACATGACTGGCACTCTGGAGTATGCCGACAGTCACGGCATTAATGTTCCAGTTATAGAAGAGCCAGATCTAGGCGACGATGGGGAGGACAGATTCGATGAAACGGAAGCAGACAGTCTTGCAGCAGCTCTCCAAGCGGCTTCAAACGTATTTGCAGATGCCAATCATAAAGCGCAAGGTGTAGAAACGAATGGCACCGATCACTCGGCATTATCTGACAGCCTAGGATTGGGAAAGCTTTTACAAGAGTCCTTGCAGGGGCAGTTGGCTGCTCAAGGCGAGCAGGGTTCCGTGGCTAACGGCGATAATGTCTTCGAGTCAAAGGGGCTGGCTTCATTGCTCTTCGAAAAGCTGGGTGGCGGCTATGAGGGTGACTTCTCCGGTAATCAAGCCCAAGCCAGCATGGCCCAGGCTGCAAATGGTAAAATTTCAACATCTCTGCATACATCTAGGCATATACTAACAAACTTTAGCTCAAATGTACAACAGCCCCTATGGTACTCAGTTTAATCCACAACAGCAGTATTACGCTTATCAACAACCCATGCAACAGCAACAAGGATCCGGTCAAGAAACCGCCGATGGCTTACCACCAACACAATCTCTACCAACATCCGTACTTTACGAACGTGCGCGCCAGGCAGCGGTAGCCAAGTCTTCAGCACATGCCAGGCGTGAGGGTCTACATTCTACGAGACGTCCGTGGACCCCTGAGGAAGAAAAGGCGCTCATGGCGGGACTTGACATGGTGAAGGGGCCACACTGGAGTCAGATTCTCCAGCTCTTCGGGCAGAACGGCACGCTCTCGGATATCTTGAAGGATAGGACTCAGGTGCAGCTGAAGGACAAGGCCCGCAATCTCAAGTTATTCTTCTTGAAGACCAACTCAGAAATGCCTTACTATCTGCAGTGCGTAACAGGCGAGCTGAAGACACGAGCTCCAAGTCAAGCTGCTCGCAAAGAGGCAGAGGAGCGAGCTCGTCTAAACTCCGAAGAGGAGCAGGCAAGAATAGCGGGCATCATGACCTTGGCTGGCGGCCTTCAGAATAACAATCCTACAACCAACGGCAAATCAGCTCCCTATTCCAATGGCCTGGCTAATGGAGGATCTGTTCGTTCGAATCCTCCAGTAGCCGGTGTACCTGTGGCTAACGCAGGCACCGCGCCACCTATTCAATCTATGGCACCTATACAACCAGCGCCATCGGTCCCACCGGTGGTGAAGGCCGAGCCCCCTGACACTTCAATACTACAACCACCACCACAACATCAATCTCAGCCTCAACCTGAAACTCAACTGCAACCCCAATCACAACCGCAATCACAAACACAAGCACACAACGAACCTCCGCAGCCAATACAGGAGGTGCATCAAGCAGAGAGCATAGGTGGCCCAGATACAGCCATGGACGCAAACTCTACGTCTACATCAATGGACCTCGACCTGATGCAACAACTGACTGCAGCACTAAGCTCGACATCTTAAAGGGGTTCAGGGAGAAATCGAGCAGGGAAGGTAGGCTCGAGATGTCACTTTCAATTATTAGAGAGCAGGATCTTCACATTAGAATCGAGCGCGATTCAGGAGGGGGGGCGGGGGGGATTTGGCGTTTGATCGTATCCGCTTACACATTAGTAAGGGTCAGAGGTTTCAAAGGACGGTCTGTTTGCGCAAATAAGATACCACGGGGTCAAAGGTTGAAACGAGTTTGTTTGATTAGATATCCATAGATGAACACGAACACTGCATGTGTTTTGCTACTGCTTGCTCATCTTCAATATTTGCGATGTTCAATGTGAGTCAGGCATGATATCACTCAACCATGGGGCAAACTCACGTTCAGCCAAGGTTGGATTCTGTGTGGCATATTAGATTTGGTCACTCTGTTGCCGGATCTTTGTACAGCAAACATTGGGGAGTAGCATACAGTCATTCTTGAATCGGCTTGCCTAGAAGTATGGAGGACCGTAAGGTAACGGAGGTCTACCGTAGTGCTCGTTGCCGAACGGCCCCCCAGTCGCCCCGTTGAAGAATGTCATCCCTGGCATTGCTCCCCCAAATACAAGCCTGTCGTTGCCATCGAGCCGTTCTCGATCATAATGATGGTCACATACGGCCCCTCCCCGTCCCTCTCCTCGTCGTCTAGGCGCCGGATTCGTAGCTTCACTTTGACAGCCGTGCACCGAACATTTGTGCGCCGTGCAGTAGAACTGATCTCGAAGGCTCTGCCCGCCACAGCCTTCGGTCCGGCAGCTATGCTGCGCGCAGAACCCACTCATTATCTGATTTGAGTACGTTCCTGCTGGGACTATGCGTATGCCCCATGGGGCTCCGAGGCCGGGGTGTCCTAATGGAATGGCATTCTGCCGGAGTTGCTGGCAAGAAGGCACCGGGCACTTGTGTGCATCGCAGTAGTTGCTCCCGAAAAGTTTGGCGTTTGTGCAGCTCCGGAAACCACAGAGATGCTCTTCGCAGAAGTGAGATCCCGCCACGGCGCGATTCAGGCACTCGCGGCCCCAGGGAGCTCGGCAGGTCTGAAAGTCTAGGTGATGATTGTTAGCTGCGGCGACAACGGACCAGGGGCAAGGGGTGATATGGGCTCTCTGGTATCAACACCTTGGAATAGAATATCGCAATAACATAGTGTAGATGGAGATACTCACGCCTCTCGCATCTCTCATGCCTTGTGTGCCCCTGAATGAAGACACTCTCCAAACATCCGGGCACATCACATTTCTTGTGGTGGTCGCATCTGTCATCCGCCCTGGCCTCCAAGCTACAATCTTGGATGATACATGTATGCCGATGACAGTACATACCCATGTATCTTCCAAACCTGCAATCGACTCTCCTGCACTCATGTTCTCTGCAAAAGTCACTATCCCCTGCGGTAGTCTTCCCCCTCCAGCATCCATCATATCGACATGTGTGCCTGATGCAATGTCGTGTGTTATGGCCAGCCATTCGTTCTTCATTGCATCCCGCCCTGTGACAATAGTGGTCGCCGCAAAACACGGCCGCCTCGTCATTGTCGCGGCGATGGCATCGTCGATTGCAGCCCATACGTGCACACTGCCGATGCATGTCGCAATACCCTCTGTCGTTCCCGAGCCCCATTGCGAACGAGGCGCAGTGCTCTTGCTGACATGTATGTCTGTAGCAGTAGGAAAACGGTCCATGCTCCCCAGCTTCCGGGCAACCGGCCTGAGTGCATGAGTGAAGCTGGCAGTATGAGCGGCCTCGCACCCGTGGCTCTCTGCAGTCTCGTTGGTTGCAGTTGTCTATAGGGGATCAGTACGTGAGGGTTTCTCAACAGCAAAAAAGGGGGGAAAGACTGCTTACGGAGCGCAGCGCAATACCTGTAATGGCCTGGGTCATCATCCCTGACAAAGTTCGGACACGCAGATCCGTCTTCAAGACGGCCAGCGCAGGATAGATCTATGCCAGCGAGTCAGTACGGTAGATAGACCCAGAGGAACGGCTCGACAGGAAGACTATACTCACGCTCGAGACACCAGGGCGCGCCTCCACATACGCGCCTTGCTCTAACGCAGATTCGACCATTTTCAACCCTCTTGCAGTAGCATCGTTTACAGTAGTTGGACGTCAGACATTGGCCCCTGTAAGTGAATTTCCCGACTTTCCAGCCGCAGGAGGGACATCTTACGCTCGAGGAACAATGCCTTCGTGACCGAGAGAAGAATCCCATCAAGTTCAAGTACTCATGAGATAACCTGTGGCAGTATATACTCACAAGTTGCCTGTAGCCACTGAGGAGACTGCCGGCGAACGAGCAACGGTTTTATACGCTTGTTCGATGATGAGGTGTTCCAAACGCCATGAGTCATTGACCGCCAATTTTGAGGCATTATGCACAGTATTTATCACGATGAAGCCCTGACACTCGGAAGTTAGATCGGTGAGTAGAACAAACATTGACGTGGTAGTCCCGGGGGAACACAAGGAGAGGGACAGTGTAGCATATCGGTTTCCTGCAGATGTCCCACGAACGAGGGTATCTGCTTGGCCAAAACCCCAATGGCCAGAATTTTCCAAGACTCTGAGTCTTTTTGAACCAGACGGGTTTCTAGAGATGGACCGCCGTTATGAAACGCCACATTGATAGCTTGTTGTTGAACGCAAATAGAGCCAGAAACGTTTGGTTTAAGGGATTTCCTGGAAATTATGTTGCTCTTTACTCATAGGTTTCGTTTCGGATGGCTATACAGTATCATGATAGATACGGCGTTTGCATATGTGAGGGACCTTTGGTCTCGGTGTTGGATGATGACTTGCATGAATGATCAAGGATGGCTATGATTCGACATCAAAAACTCGTCTTTCTCTAGTTCTCGCTTTACATCCAGCAATATCCTAGTCTAGTTGATGATTTGCTACATTCATACATCACAAGAAGTACGATATAGTATTCTGAGCACTACATACAATATTATGGACCGCTTCGTTATTCAGTCAACGAAAATCAAGCACTAAAAGGGTCATTTTTTTCCCGCTGCTGTTGGTGTCGATAAATGTCTACAGCCCTCTTATCTCTTCGAATTATTTGAGACAGGTTCTGCTGTATTCTGAACGATGCTGGTCTGCAAAGGGGGTTGGGCTCACATGCATATGCTACATGGGGCACGTGAGGGGTGTATGATATCTCCAGTCGCCCTTCATTCCTTGGTATCTTAACTTCCTCATGTCTTGACAGCAACACAGATTCAACGCTTCTTGGTCCTTTCAATGGCTCTTTCATGCTGCAATAGAACCTTCGATAGTGCTGCGGCTCTTACGCAGCACACTCGCGACGCTCCCAAACACCGAGTCGACACAGCGCCTCAGCAAACTGTATCCAGACCGCTCCCGCCTGCGAAAACCCAATCTCAACCTATCGAAGGAGCGGCAGATCAGCGGAACAGAAGGATAACATGCTCTTGTGGAAAGAAGTCCAAAGAGGAAAATACCCTCGAACAGCATCGACTCGACTCTCCGCGTCATGGCAAACGCATAGACGTTCAGAATCAAACTAGCGTTTTGAAAAAGGACAAGGTTCAGCAACGTCAATCCACCGCAAAACTACAAGTTGCTTCCGCAAACAGTAGTGACGATTCTACATCACGATGCGATCGTGAGTCGAATGAGCTTCGCGAGGGTGGCTCGCTAAGGCACCTCCCAGTGCCGTTTGTAAGAGAAGGAGAATCTGCAGAAAAAGGGACAAAGAAGAAGAAGACGAGAAGCAGGGGAAGTATAGGCAATACAGCTTCTCGGAGCTATCGCGTCTGGTCGCCCAACACAGGATATTGGTATTCAGATGTTGGGAGTAACCATGGTCTCTGCGATAAGGACTGCGGTTGGTGCGGGCACTGCGCCGATGGCATTTTATAAAACAGTCAAAGGGCCTTCGGGCACCGTTTTCAGACTGCATTACCACTACTATGGAGACCATTATGTGGAATATTGACATATCTTACTAGTGATAAATTGACATAATCGAGAAGGCTCCTGTGTTTGATTGTTCCAAGTGGCAGACGTCAAATTGACAATGAACTCGAGAGACTATTCAATTGTGGTCTACCGTTTGCTACCATTCAAAAGCGACATATAACAAGCCGCCCTATGTAAATTATTGCTAATATTCGAAGGCTGAAGGCTCGATGAATATCAGTGGGACAGTCCATTTCAACCACGACTACCACAACGTGCACAACGAGCGAGGCATGTCAATCGACAGTCTAAAACACTAAGGGACGACGAGAGTTACTGCTCGCCAGCATATTCCAATTGAACACCAGCGAACGGCTTCACTCAATCGTAATGAGGGTGCCTCTTCAATGTGTCCTGGCTGGCATCGCTGGTGAGAACACACCTCAACCGTATCGTGGCTTCGCGTTTAACAGAACCTAGGCTTTTTGATGTTGGTATAGGGGAGGATCAAGGGGCTTACGCGTCTGGAGAGTCATAACCGGAAGAGATGGGCAGCTGTACCCGTCACCCTACGTGTGCAGAGATCATCCTGCATTATCTTATTATGTTGTTACTACACATGTCAAGTCCTTGACGTCCGCTATGACTGGACAGGCGGTAGACCGGCATATACAAACACTATCTGAACTGATTCTCAGTTCAATAGCGTAGAGATGGGTTCCTTACTCAACATGCAATATAACCGCATGATTGGGACAGTATGCGGCTGGTCTTGTCGACCGTTTGCCGGATTGATACAGGGATACGTAAGCATCCAATTGCAGAAGCTAAATACATTGTATGTAAGTTGTATTTAACATACATGTCAATCAATTGGCAACATTACGTGGTCTTGATCTCGTCACTAGAGACTTTGAAACTGAACCAACAATTCTGCTGCCTGCTTCGATCACATGCGAGTCTGAGAACGAAGATCTTAAATCCTTCAAAAAGTCTAGACAAGCAGTTTGAGATGATATAGAACGGTATGACTACGAGACTTGTTTAGCAAGGCCAGTGATGACTTCACATGTCTTTAGAACAGTCTGGCCACTTGCCACTGGGAGAGGCTGATCCAAGCTTGCGGCAGCTTGCGGCAAGTGGATCACTGCGTGACCAGCAAAATCCTGACTTAATACACATCGAGAAGATGCAGCAGTAGCAAGCAATATTAGGTCAGCACCTAAGCCATTAGAGCCACTGACGATGCAGGTAGGACATACAGTAGGACGATTTGGGGGTGGGGAAATAACCTTAAGAGGTGGAGGGTTTCCAAGGTGTTGCCGTGTTGAAATGGTTGGCTGACAGCGGAGGCCTCAGGTAGGACTACCACATGGGCGGGCATGGCATGGGGGGAGGAAGGGAGCAGAGGCCCTGATGAGCTGAACAAATGGGCTCAAAGGATCTTATCCTGGGGCATGGGCTCTGAAACCCTGCGAGCGGCAAACAAAACAGAGCCTGGCAGAATAGGTAAGCAGAGCAGAACTGGAGCAAGCACAGGCAGCCGGATTTGGACTTGCAGTGCATTCGCATCCGGAGTTTCCTGACGTGAGTGGAGGCACTGCATATTGTATTGGTCTGGATACCTCAGGGAAGGGTGTGTAAAAAAAAAAGAGTGCCTAAGGGGGGTGGATGGCTGGGCTGCGACTGCGGCTGGGGAAGGATTCAGCCTCGCCGGCGGCTGAGCAGAGCACCACCACCACCACCACCAAACCAGCTCCAAAACAGCCCAAAACAGAGGCGATTGCGTAGGGCTTGGCAGCCGCAGACCGGATTGAGAAGGCGATTGTTAATAATAATGAGAATGAGAATGAGAATGAGAATGATACCTCAGGTAGGGAGGGGGGCTCATCGTGGCCTATAGCGAGCTCGCACTCGGAATGAGAGCGGCCAGTTTGGAGACAATGTCCGTTCCAGCTCCTGGCCAGCCAGCTTCTCTGCTTTGGTGTGCAAAAGAAGGCTTTGGGGGCCGTTTTGGGTACGTAGCGGGCGTCGGGGGACGCGTACAGCCGGGGGGATCATACGAGTGCGAAGAAGGCGAGGAAAGGGGAGAAAGAGGGTGTGTCCATCATCTCACAAAGCCACCGCCATGCTGAGGATCAAAGTGAAGTTCGGGATAACGTCAACCTGAGATGGACAGTAAGTGTCGATATTGAAGATGATGACGATGCATGTGTATGGCTGTACGGCTGGCAGCGGCGGTCGGAACAAACTGGAGCGAGCCCACCCGTAGGGCTTAACGCGAACGGCGCCAATTTCCGGTGAGAACACGACTTTTTGGGTGCGGCCTCCTGTCCCAAGAGTTGGCCAGGAGCGCCAGGGTTGGCGACAGACGCAGCCACTCAAGCAGTAAGCAGCGCTAAAACAAGAGCACTAGAGAGCGCCCCTCCCTCTTCTCATCCCCCATCCATCCACTGGATTTGCCGCCTCTTCCCCGTCTCATTCGACCATCAGCAATCTGCACACACTTCCAGGTTGAGCCTCATCAAAGACGCTCGGGACAATCCAATTCTCATGTTATCCCGACAACAACGACAATAACAACGACGACGACGCGTCAGTGCATCCTCCTCGTCTTCAGGCTTAAACGCCTTGGCTGCTTCCTTTCCTTTGGCGTCCCGCGTGCATGTATGCAATTGTCTCTTGTGTCTTTGTACACGCTAGGCAATTCCACTGTCGGGAATGACCAACTCAAGTGAGACAGGGACGGGACTTGCTCAATTGACCACATGTCCAGCTCTTCGCCAGCACACCCAAAGCTCACAAAGTACAGTACGTCAGGAGATGCGCCGGTAGGACTCTGAGATCCAGGCACCTGCATTTCTTCAGCCTCTAGTCTCTCTAGTCTCTCCTCTTCAGTCGAGGTACCGTGTCATGTCTGTTCTCCTAGTACGGTATAGTCTTGAACTGCCTTCTCTTTAGTCTCCCTCCCTCGTCCTCCTCCTCCTCCTTCTCCTTCTCCTCCATGTAAGGTACTTTGCTTGCATTGCCCTCGACCCTGACCACCACACTGTGGCTTGTGTCTCCTTTCCTTGCCTCTCATCCACACCATACGACTTTTCCCTCTTCTGTCACACCTGAGACCATTACAAGTCAAATGCAGAATTCCATTATGCCTGTCTATACTCTAGTCCGCTGCCGGCAAGGCCCGGTAGGTCACACCTCTTTCCTCGTCTGTCAACCTTGCAGCGCCATGCTGATTGAACCCCGTGGAATCGAGAAGACTCACCTTGACACCTCCATCATGACCTTGAACCACATCCTAGTTGGATACCTCCCCCCATCCGTTCCCCTTCCCCCTCCGGTCTTGGCCTCATAGTCCAGATCCCCCCCTGCCCCACGATGGCCTGTACCAGTCCCTCTCTCTGTCCAGTCCCTATCCGGCCGAGTTGCTTAAAGCAAGCCTCCTTCCTGCTGCTTGGGCCATCTCTGGCTACTTTCTTTCTCTCATTCGTTATCAGTATTGGACCCTTGCAACTCGGCCCTGCATAAGCACGAACTACTGTTCATCGGTCCCTTTGCTTTGCTTGACTTGATCTTACTTCACTTCATCCGTTCTTGACTTCCTCAACGTCTCTTTATATCAAGTGTCCCCCTCTCTAAGCTTGCCTTGATATAAAAAGTCTCTCCCTTTCCCTCACACCTGGTTGCCTTCTTCGGGCTTAGACATTTCCACTCACTCCGAGCCTTGTCACACACCGAGCAACAAATACACCCACCAGAGCCTTACCATCGCCCGTATGGCTAAAGACTTCTTCGTCGAGGACCGACCATCCGGCAAAGTATTCGTGGTCAAGCGGTCCCACTCAACAACAGACAAAGGATCCCGTCGTGCACACATCACGAATGATGAATTAGACATCATCGTCGCACGGGAGAACAACCTCCGCAAGGCGAACGAGGCCATCAGCGCGGAGAACTACGCGCTCAAGACCAACTACCAGGCCTGCGACGCCCAGCTGCGGCAGCTGCAGCACCAGATCCCCCAGCTGCAGCACCAGGTGCGCAGCCTCTACCACGAGAACCAGGAGCTGCGGCGCTCGCTCGACACGACGAGCGGCGACATGGACGCCGAGGTGCGGCGCCTGCGCGCCAAGAACGCACGCCTCAAGACGGAGAACGAGACGCTGGCCCAGCGCCTGCGCGCCGTCGAGCGCGACATCCGCGACCGCTGGGAGGCCAAGGTCGCCCAGCTGACCAACGAGGTCAACGTCTGGCGGCGCCGCTTCCTCGACAAGGAGGACGACGCCCGCCGCCTCGAGGCCGAGTCCAGCCGCCTGCTGGGCCGCCTGCAGGAGTCCAGCGACCAGAAGCGCCTCCTGATCCAGGAGCGCAATGCCCTCGAGCACCGCGAGGCGCGCCACCTCGAGAAGATTGCCGTGTACGAGGACATTCTTCGCCGTCACAGACTGCTTAGGTGATGAAGGGCTCGGACACTCGCCTTGTTCGGAACTATTGGAGGTACAGCGATGGTCTCCTGGGATGGAAGCAGCGTCATTCACTCCTGCTTTTGGCATAGACGGCGTTAACGGACCCGATGGTTTACACGGACTAATTGTAGAGACTCCTTGTCGTCACGGGAACGTCTTTCAGATTTTGGACATGAGATATGCACAGATCAGACCGAAGAATATGGTACGTTATAATATCGAATTGCAGCCAGTCGATACAGTCATCTAACTACCAAATAGATACGCTAAATGAGCGACGACTGAAAATACGTTCTGGGGAAAGGGCAGGGCTTGGACAACACATATCGAGGCCCCTTAAATTGATTGCCTCTTGTCCCAAATCATAGACGGTGGACACAAGTCTGCATTTCTGCATTCGCAACATTATTTTCTTTTGTCTTATACCAGGTTTACAGGTTGGCAGTGGGCTTTTTGGATTCAGGTCTGTTGGGGCCGGGTTTGTGGAATTTCTGTTCAACAACACAAAGCTACCATTATTGTAAATCATTGCACTTGAGCTGGAAGCGCTCCTCTTATTGAGAGCCTTCGGCGTAGACACTTAGATTGGTATCTTCACCACCACCCAAATAGAGATACTCGTGTCAACAAACATGGCGCCGATATCACGCGCTCCTCAATGACACAGTGACCCCCTTATTTACCGTGTGCCACGCTAGACTAGAATCTGGAAGAGATGCCTCACAGGGATGGCAGCCATTGGGATGGGTCGTGTGGATTTGGTCGGCGTTACACCCAGGTCATGTGCGGCGTGCATGCTCAAGCGGAAAAGGGGGAGACGGACCACGCTCACCGAACACATTGACATCAACAGCTGACGTACCCCTCCACCACTTACCCCGACTGAGCCTATATGTCTGGGGCCACACAAGCAACGCTCTGGCTCGGTATCAGGGCCTCATGATTCGGTCCTCCCCAAAATGGCAACTTCGCGATACTCCAGGCTCGGCATCTTGGCTTGGGGGTCGGTCGTGTGTCGGACAAGGGCTCGTCATAGTCGGGCCATCAGTGGTGTCGCTCTGCGCTGCGCTGCGGCCGACGCCTGTTACGGTAGCTCGACTACTTCACCCAGATAGTTTGGTTTGGATATGAGGCATCTCTAGGCATCTGTTTAGCAGATCGCCCTGACAATTCCATCATGTCGGGATGTCATTTTTTTTTCTTGGGCGTCCTTGGCGGCAACACAACACGAGCCCAGGGAGTCAGGGACGGTGCTACGCACAGACAGACCACTTGCCGAGAGGAGTATGCGGCGGCGCATTCACTGGCCGCGCCGCCGCTTATGGGGATGGGGGATCGGACGGCACGGACGGCGGCGTCTCGGAGACAATGGTCCCTCCCTTTGTTATTTTCCTTCCTTCCTGCGCCGGTACGGTACTTTTGTTTCCCGCCAAATGTCTCTCGTTTGTGTGGGTTTCTATGCAGGGTGCACCGCCGTTACTAGATAACGCCTTTCTTCTGAGACTATCTATCTGGCTTATACCTTACACCGAAGAGGCACTGGTCTAAAAGCTGACATACGTGGAATGGATCCAGGATGCAATTTGAGATTCTTCCCTGTTTCAACTGCATGCCTGCCTACCTACCTAACTACCTACAGAAGCATGGATGACTGTACAACATTGCTTTCGTAACCCTTCACTCGGCAAGAAGATGGTCTCGTCCGTCCGGCCGTGTCTGCATGGTCCTTTGTCCTGTTCTTTTCGCCTCTATATTTCTGTCCGTCTGCGGCATATTCCCTGCTGCAGCAGAATCCTTCAGCCTCAGTCCGTCCGCGCACTGGCGCCTCCTGCCCCTTGTCTTATCTGCAGACTGAAAGCGTGAGGTAAGTCGTAGGTAGCATTTGCCGCATAGGCTTTTACTTTCAGTCTCGTCTGGATTACCTACCGCAGTAAGGCGGGTTGGGTGCTTGCTCGGTGGCTGCTGTGCTGTCATATCTCTGTTTGTTAAGGTTTAGGCTCTCGTTTTGCAAGGATCACAGCCTGGGCTATAGGTGTTTAGCTGCAGACAGAGAAGCGTTTGCCTCGGAGGCATGTGGTTTCGTCTACTACGACTATACAGAGAAGTGCGAATGTAGATTGACAATTACGAAGCATGGACTTAATTAACCCACAGCAACTATTTAGCATCCTCAGAATTCGTGGCAACCTAATCCATCGTAGAAATGTTACCTGTCTAAGGCATGTGGAAAAAGCAGGCATGTAGATTGCCAGCACTAGGAGGAGTTGAGGATCTGGACCGATTATCACGCTCTGACTACCTCTTCTCATCTAGCTGGGTTGGTGGGACTATGCTACTCTCTACGGACGGGGTCAGTGGGTAGGTAGGGGAGTCTAAACTAGAAGACCCGTTGATAGGGCTGTGGTGAATCGACCGTGCGATCGTGTGTCGATGTCCAAAGCGCAGCCAAGAGTCAAGGTCAAGGCCGAGGACAAGCAAAGCACAAGCCACGGGAAGACGCCATGAACGCACAGGAAAGATCTAGAAATGTCAAACACGCAATCTGGCACCCGCACGCACGTACATGATCGGTAGAGCCGTGCTTTTGAGGCGCAGGCTGGCTCGGAGGAGGAAGCAGCTTTACGATATCAGTGGTTGCATCTCTATACCACTACAGTGATAATTAACAATTAACATGGGGGCATTTTATGTGGCGTGCCTTAGCTTGTGGCTTGTTTAGTGGTTCGATGCACCCGTTTACCCATTCGCAGCATTCGCTGAAACATTGGAAGGTGCGGCTTTGCTGCGCAGTACGTGACCCTCCAGGACCTCCTGCCCGCTCTGGAATGGAATGGAATGGCAATTTGGAAGGGGAAAGGCAAGAGGGGCAGGAGGGGCAAGGAGGGATGCCCCGCAACGGGAACACAGCGTTACTTCTCAGTCGGCTCGGGCAGTGTAACCGCCGCTACCGTCCGTTCTGGTAACGATGCGTTTTAGTGTCTTTTCCCACTTGGCTCAGCCCTGCTAGCATGCCGGGGTACTGTATTGTTACAGTCATGGGTGCCATGCAAGCACTCAACTCACTTTCGCGACTCCGATCTCCCGTCTGATCGCTCTCGCCCGAATATCAACCGGGGAGGAAGGTTGCGAAACCTACACGACTTACATCACTGATCACGGAGATCGGATGGTCCCGCCAGGCAGGTAAGGTACTGGACGGGACGATAATCCGAGGAGCGGGAAGGAGAGACAGACAGACACGACGGGAGCGATACGATACGATGCAGACCATCTATCAGTCAATCGATCACTCATTGTTACCTATCAGACTGACTGAGACATGCATCTAGCGCATGAAGACAACTACCTTAGTCTTGTTTTCTAGACGCCGAGACGACATCATCATCTCTGAGCTCATCACCGCGCCGCGTGCCTCGGGATCGCATCGCTGGTCGCATCTTGGGACATGACTCACCTCTCCTTCCAAGACCACAAGCACACGTACCTCGTCGCGAACGAACGTGACGAGACTGTGGGCCTGGGGTTTCTCACAGCACAGAGAGAGGGTCTCTTGTCTGGCGACCGCATCAACCTATTGGCTCTCTTGGCCGATCGTGTTGCTGCAACCTGGCTCTGTGAGCGAATCGTAGGCATCTATGAACCGAAGGACGAATCACAGCCGGATTCCCCCTTCTAAGAAATGCCAAATGCCTGCTGCATCCGTTAGAGCCCGCGTCTGCAGAAGCCCGGCAGCGCTTTCACTACTGTAGCTGGGCGAACCGCCATGCACGGCTCCTGGCGACCCATCTTTGGGGGCCGAAAATGGCCTCAAGCTCGCCAGCTCTCCCAAGAGCCCCCTCCACCCCAAGCAGGCAAACTTGGCAACAAGACGCACCTCGGTGAGCATGAGGCAACCATGCGAGAAGTCTCTTGACCGGCTGGGATGTGCCTTCGATTCGTGTCGGCCGTTCGAGTCTGCCGCGAGCAGATGTGGCCGGCACTGCCCACTCTTTCTGTTCCTAGCCTATAGGGACAACCCGCCGACGGAGATGGGGGGTTGAGACTCGTTCTGTGTAGCAAAGTTGTCGACGCGACTGCGCGGGTGCTGCCCACCTTCTCTCTTGCTGTCCAATTCCTGTCTTCTTTCTGTCCTGATGGTGGTCAACTCACCTCCTGTCGGGTGCTTTCCAGCACAGAAGAAAACACGAGTTCGTCTCAGGCGGTGAGAACCTGAGGAGTGGCCGTTGTTGTACCTCTACCCATACACTCAGTCTGGCTCTGCCCGGCGCATCGCCATCCTGACCGGCTCCGACTCTCCCCCAAGATGGCCGCAAGCGGTAATTGAGCCTCACATGTGGGTATCCAGCGCCAGGATGCTCTGCAGTAGGTGCTAGGGTGCTGGTCCCGGCCGGTCTGCCTGGGGGGTGGACAGACGAGCAAGGTAAGGATCACGGCATGTGAGGTAGTATGACTCGACGCTGACCTTAGGCTGTGCTGCTGGCAGCCAAGGGGGCTCGCTCGAGCGAGAAAAGGGAGGAGGGCGGCGCATTGGTAGATCCACCACTGCGGTACCACTACCTCCACTCCCACCTCTTCTCCCTCCTTGGGCTTAGGTGATGCACTCCTGGAGAGACTGGATATTCACACGCTCCCCCTGCCCATGAGTGTGGGTGGTGTCTGCTTCTTTTCTTTTCTTTCCTTTTTACCCCGGCCAGCCGGCGTCTCTTCGCGCAAGGTGTGCTGTGCTGTGCTGTGCAAGTCGCGCAGTCGCAGAAGCTTAGTCCTAGACTAGATGGATGGATGTTCCCTTCCTTGGCCGGCCAGCCCATGAGTCTGCCGTCCATGCTGGGAGTCGCGGAGGCAGCAGTGCGGTGTCTTTTGCCATGATTGCGAAGTGTGTGAGTGAGTGAGTGACTGACTGAATAAATTATAATTCAAAAGGTGGAAAGGTGTATCTTGGTCTTCCCTCCCCTCTCTCCTTTCTCTTTCTCTCTGTTTCCCATCCGTATATAAGCCATCTTATTATAGCCTCGCTATTCAATCCCACACACCCGTCTACCCCTTATTATCCCTCAGTTCAGTCAGGGAGCAGTGCGTGCCGAGATTCCCCCAGCCCAATTTATCTTATCCAGATTTCTTGTTCCTGGAAAGGGATTTGACCGCACTTATACCGCCGTCACTGTCGCCGCGCTTCCGTTGGGCTTCAATCATCCCTGAACGCTTTTTTTTTTTCTCGCACCAAGGACTTGGAGCCTAATCAATAGGACACATTCCTAACCACAGCCTCGTCCTCCGGTCAACCCTGCCACACACCCCCCCAATTCGCCCTTGACCTCCCTCCCACCCGCCTTACTGCTCTCTTTTTTTATTTAGTTCGGGCAGCTCTGCATCTCTGCGTCTCTCGCATCAAATCAGCACGTTACACATTTTGCTGCGTTGTGCCGGTGCTGCTCGCCCTGAATCTTTTCATCCATACGACCGTTTTCGGGATTATTCTGTTATTAGTTAAGAGTCGCTGCAGGGACCTCTGCTAAAAAAGATGTCCTCAAGAACCGTTAGGTTCGGCGGCGACTCACCCTCTTCGGGTGGGTCGCGGGGCAGCAGCGGGAGCAACCGCCACAGCGACTCAGGAGTTGGTTCGTTCAGCGATCAAGCCAGCCGTGGAGGGGCAGCTCATCCTGATCGCGTGTTCACAGCTAAAGACCTCGAGACCCAGCGCAACGACATCCGCGCGCTGCAGGACGCCCTCGACGACGCCCGCAAGAATGCGTCGCACTACAAGAAGAAGGCCGAGCGCATCGACGCCGAGCTCACCCAGACACGCAAGGACCTGCGCGAGAAGGAGGCGCAATGGCGCGGCCTCTTTGAGCGCAGTGAGCAGCTCGAGGACGAGAACAAGAAGCTCGTCCTCGAGAAGCGCGAGTTGATGAAGGGCATGCAGAACATGTCGCACGACAACGAAGACCTCAAGAGGAAGCTCGGAGACGCCATTCAGGCTCTCAAGGAACAGTACGCCAACCAGCAGCCGCCCATGACCAATACCATGCCCCCTCCGCCGCCCCCTGAGCCCAAGATTCACCGGAGCTCCAGCAAGAGGGAGAAGGTCGATCCAGAGAAGAAGCGCCTGTCGAAGCGCTTTGAGCGCGGCGAGGAAGGGGGCAGCGATAGCAGCGGTGGTTCTCAACCGCCGATCACAGCAAGGCCGCCTCGTCGCCGGCGCGACAGCTATGTCGAGCCCTGGGGCCCGCCAGCGCCAGCACCGGCGCCGCCGCCGCCGCAGCAGAGACCGATCCCCGTACATGTGCCGCCGTCGCCGGGCCGCAGTCGCCAATTCGACGGCTACATCGCCACCACTCAGCAGAACCCGCCCGTCACCAGCCACCATCACGCACCGACATACTCCAATGTGCCGCGCAGCGCGGGCGTCCCCCCGATGCAGCGGCCATCAGTCTCTGTTCCCGATGCGTCTGCAGACTACTATGATTACGAGGACGGCAATTACCATCCTTATCCGCTTCCTGAAAGACCGCGGAGGACGTGATGCGCTTTCGGCACACAATCCACTGATCTATTCTATTTACGAATAGAGAAGGCAGCTATGATAAGTGACTGGTTATGTCACAAGGCTGCCAATAAGGGTCTTTTGATTTTACTGGAGAACGGCGTCAAAATCGGGGCATGCTGAACCGCAGAGGTGCATTATGGGGGGGAACCACCAAAAAAGACGGACGGGTATAGACTCAAAAACGACATCACTTACAACCATTCATTCCTACTCGGCAACTGGCGTGCCTGGCGTGTGTTGCAGCATCGATAAGCACGCATCGCATTAGACTGGGGCCCAGGCCACACACATACATTCTCACACACCCCATCTGGAGGCACTTACACCACTTACACACCACCAAAACACCACCAGCTATTGCACTCGAAGAGGACCTGCCAGGGCGGATCCTCTAGGCACCCAGATGCACTATTACACCTTTCCACATGCCGCACCGCACGGGACGCGAACCTGGAGGTGGAGGCAACACTCAATCATTTCACCACCTGGCCACTCAATCGCTGACAGCTGCGCAGTCAGTGAATGACTGGTCAATCGGAAGCCATCTCGGTGGGCCAGTGCCTGGACACTCGGCCGGAACCCCGCTAAGCTGGACAGTCCCACGCCCGCCCCGATGCCGGGAGTGGGGTTGCTGTTTGGCTGTAGCGGTTGTTGTTTGACTCACATGGAGAAGAGGGCAAAGGCACTGCTGCGTGAGTTGTCATATCGGCGAGAGGCTTCGGTCTAGTTTGCCTCGCCCTGTTTTAGATAGATCTCTGTTGTTGTCACCATATTTTCTTGTCATGTATACCCAAACCATTCCTGTACGTTAGCTTTTGGAAAATCGGCCGGCCGGAGACGGAGACAGAGACAGAGACAGAGATACCATACCCTTCTTACGTTTGACACTTTATACCATATCATACCATAGACTTTTTCTGCTCTTCGGGGAAAACGGCTTCGCGGCTGGTGGAAGGGCGCTTATAGCGCAATCGGTTCAATTGAATTCAATTACTTGACTGCCAAAAAGCTATCTTCCCTATCATGCGTGCATTCCAGTAGTGTATTGACGCAATCGGCAGCCTTTATCTAGTGACTCAACTAACACAACAAGAAAACAACGTTACTTATCGGTAGATCCTCTCCTCCACGAGGCTCTGCCCGCTCCACATCCCCATCTATCTGTCTGCACACTACATTCTACAGGACCTTCATACGGGGTAGAGGAACAAGATGAAGCTCATCCCGTCACTCACCCCCTCCCTCACCTCATGGGTGCTGGCCCAGCCCGTCTTCTACGTGGCGTCGGCGCCCACGCACGGCGCGCACGTCAACGTCTCGCCCAAGGGCCTCCCGTCCTCGACGTTCAGCGTGCTCTCGCCCAACCAGGTCGCCTACCTGGACCGCACCGGCTCCGGGTGCGAGACGATCGCGCACCTGTACGAGAACGGCCGCATCACCATCATGTTCATGAGCGTCGGCGCCAGTCCCCGCATCCTGCGGCTCTTTGGCCGCGGCCGCGTCGTCGAGTGGGACAGCCCGCTGTTTGCCGGCTGGCTCGAGCGCCTCGGCAAGGCGCGCCCGGACGCCGTCCGCAGCGTCATCGTCTGTGATGTCTTCCAGGTGAGCACGAGCTGTGGCTACGGTGTGCCGCGCGTCCGCAAGGAGCTGTACCTCCCCGCCGCCGCAGGAGCCGCCGGCGGTCCCGGGGCGGAACCCGAAGCGGGGCAGGAGGAGGAGGAGGAGGGGGAGCAAGTGGAACAGGGCGAGGAGAATGGCAAGTTCGACAAGTACGGGGTCCTCCGGCTGCGGTGGGACAAGGAGAACAGCGTGTTCGAGGACCGGCCCACGCTGGTGGACAACGCACGTAAGCGCCAAAAAGCTGGCAAAGTGCTAGAGTATCAGGTGCAGGCGAACCTGGACAGCCTGGACGGGCTGCCGGGGCTACGGGTCGCGCGGCGCGAGGCCGGGCAGTGGCTGTGGGCGGCGGACGCAAAGGCGCACGTCAGGAGGGTGCTCGCGGAGCGGGAAGCGATCGTGTTTGGGTTTCTGCTAGGGGTTCTGTTCTACCTCGTGCTATCTACCAAGCTGTTTGGCGCCGTGGACCTGGTCAAGTCGGCCGACCTGGCTGACCTGACCGCCGGGTTCAAACAGCAGCTTGAGGTCTTGTCCTCTGCTCGTGTCAAAAAGTAGCTATTGTGAGTGAGCGATCACACCCTGATCATCGATCTGCTCTCTTCTATTTATCACCAAAATTGCTCTGACCGAGAAGTAGAGAAACTGTTCTCTTTGATACCATAGATCAAAGATCTTTGCCCATAACATCTTCCGGTAGCCCTAATCCCTTTCCTGGCGCGATAACCAGTGTAAGCTGGTCATTGCCGTAACGGTTTCGGAAGTGCTCTGGGCTCAGTAAGAATCGAAGTATTGAAGAGTGATATGACTCTTCATATCGAAGAAGTGTAGTCGCCAACGTTGCCCAATATCCTTCATCCAGCACTTGAAGTTGCGGCAGGGGTTGGGGCTGCAGTGGTTGAGGCTGCTTGGTCCGCAGACTTGCTGGCACCCTCTTTGGGACCAGTGTCTCTACCTCGCCCACCCCGACGACGTCCTCCACGTTTGTGTTCACTGGTAGTGCTCGGCGCGCCTTTCTCAGCTGATACTGTCGGCGCGGCGGACCCTGATGTAGTAGCAGTGCCATTTGAAGAAGCAGACTGGGCAGCAGCACCCTTCTTGGTTCCCGTCTCCTTTCGCTCCAGAACTTGAACAGTAGCATCTGCCACAGAGATTGGGCTTGCAGAAATAGCCTTGACCAACCCGTCGTGCTCGGAAAAGTCTACATATGCAAAACCCTTGCGGCGATCAATCTCGACGAAGGTGATAGTCCCGAAAGCCTGCATAGCCTCCTTCAACAACGCTTCAGTTACACCTTGAGATGGGTTCGCGTGCTTAACGAACGCACGTGTTGCGCCTGGGGTAGGCGCCTGAGACTGGCCACCTTTCTTCTGCGAACCGCTCGCCTGGGCATTCTTGTTTGTCGTAGCCTTGGGCCCAGTTGGCGGTGCTTGTGATGTATTTGATGCAGATGCGGCAGTCCCCGTTCCTTTTTGGCCTGCCTTTTCGCCGGCCTCGTCTTTCTTCTTCAAGAGGATCACTGGAGTCTTGCTTGCAGCAGAAGTCTCGGATGACTTGTCGCCTTTGGACTTTGCAGATTCTGCTGATGCCCCCTGCTTCTTCCCCTTTGCTCCTCTCGAAGACTTCGAGGACTCTTGGGCTTGCGATTTCGGTGCTGTCGGCGCCGACGAAGGCACAGTGGAGGTGCCCGAGGTCGCTGAGGTTGTTGCTGGGGTTGGAGTCTCACCAGAGGCGGATGCTTTGTTATCTCCTTCAGTCTTCTTTGCGGCATCCTGCTTAGCTGCCTCGAGACGAGCCCTCCTATGGGCCGTCCCAGGGCTTAGGCCCAGGTCTCGTTCCAAGATCCTAGCAGCAGCAGCGATACCAGCCCTCCGACTCTTCGGGGCTTCCTGCGTCGAGGCTCCTGAAAGTTGGCCAGCAACAACTTTCGCAGCTTCAGCTGCAGCTTCGGCCGCCTGCTTCTTCGTGAGAATCTTCACCGTCTCCTTCGGTTTATCAGACTTTGACTCCTTAGACTTCTTTTTGGAGTCATCTCCAGCCGCCGCCGAGCCCTTTCCTTTGCCTCCCTGAGACTCCTGTCGACCATGCTTTCCACTCTTGGAGCCGGAACTATCCTTGGCCTTATTTGCTTTCTTCTCTCGCAAGTAATCGATCAAAGGAGTGCTAGTCGCTTTGGCCGCAGACTTGCCCTCTTCCTCGGTTGCTTCACCACCCTCGCCCTCCTTGGTTGCAACGGTCGGGTTGGCAAGCCCCTCGAGGAAATCCATGAACTCCTGATCCTGGTCAATAGTCCCCTGGCGCCCGTCATTGCGTCGTTTCCCGCTCGGCACCTTCTTGTAAATGGCAAGCTCGACTGCAGGGGGTGCAATCAGAGATGGGCTGTTGTATGTGTCCTTGGCGTCCTCCCATATAATAGTCTTAACCATCTCATTCAGAGGTAAGGCTTCCTCTCTCTTCTTCAAATGTAGGTACGCGCGTGCTGGACGAGAAGGCTTAGACGGGCTTCAATGGTGATAATATTAGCCAATAGATCAGTATGTTCACAACCAGAAGCACAAACTCTTGCGAGATCTTTCCGGGCTGGTATGAGAACCAGTCCACCTTGCCATTGCCGACTTTCCAGTCCTCCCCTAGTAACTTAATGCATTCGTCCTCGGTCATGCCAGGAGGCAGCCTTCGAATCACCACTTTCTCCCCATCAACAGGCACCTTCGACTTTGTAGCCTTCGGCGCATCGGTTGTCGCTTGGGCCGCAGCCACGGGCAACACACCGTTCGCCTTGCGCGACAACACCTGCGGGGTTGCCATCCTTCATCGATCGACGAATTTCCTTACTATTTCATGAATAGTATGGTCCTGGCTCATTTGTATTGCCTCGCAAGGGCCGCTGGGGGCGCTGCCCCAAAAAGTCACCGGTACGGTGGACCTGCTTTTAGGTGGTATCGAGTCTGGCGAACGAAAACGGCTGGCGACATAAGTCCGATAGATGTCCTTGATTCGGAGAAGGCGATATTGGTCTCAGAAAACCCATTCAAATATATCTGGCCAAATCTCGATCCAAAGACAATCTTGTCTCCGACCAGAGTGCAGCTCAAAGGGGGATCAGGTGAAGAAGTATGGGCAGCTTGATGGGATAGTGAGTGTTCATGGAGGAACATTCCATCAAGGCTGTGGTGGGGGGAAGGGACCTGTGTCAAAGAGGACTAGCTCACTTTGCTGTGTACATCTTTCTGTACCTCACTCAACTTTTTCTGACCTCACACGTGACCTTTCTATCAACAACGCACGCACCACCTCAGCTTATCTAAGCTTCCAGCGCCACACTCAGCCAGCTGCTACAGCCAGATGAAGTGGCCCTGGAAGAAAGCCACAGGGGGGCAAGTGGCTAATAAGGAGCAGGAGGCGGAAGCCCAACGGCGGTCGGCGACTGGCAGCGCTACTCAATCTGGACCGCTGCCAGCTCGTGATAGAGCCAAAGCCCAGCAAGCTTCAGGTATGCTACTGTTCCCCAGTTGACGAGTGCCCAACATATTTCTCTATATTTTGTAGACATCAGCACTGTGAGAATCCCTTCCATCAATGTGCTAATCGGCTGGCAGAAGCTCGAGCTAAACGACGATCACGCCGGTTGGAGCTTCCATCGCCTATTCCTCCGAGCGACGACCAGTCTTACGAAGCCATATTTGAGAGCTACGAGTGCTATCGCACGCTCCGTGAGGCCAGCATCGACGTTGACTTCCGAGCTGAAGGCCCATCGAGGGATCCACGACGAGGTCGCCAGCGTATCACTCCGCATTGCCGGGCATACGCACGAGAAAATCGTTCGAAGTTGATCAAGCACTGGACGTACACGTTCCAGCCGCCGGGCTCTGACAAAGTCTATACAAAACGGCAGGTTGCTCGAACTAGCCCCTCCGTCTCGCCGATTGCATCGCGTTCGACCACACCAGAGCCATCATGTCTACCGTCCCCAAGCCTGGCCCGGCCAAACTCCTGCCAGGAGCAGGGCTCGATGAGTGGCTCGAAGAAGCCAAACAATGTCACTACCTCCCGGAAGCTGTCATGAAGCAGCTCTGCGAGATGGTAAAAGAAGTCCTCATGGAGGGTATGTTGCCTATTCATGGCTAGGCTACTATCATACTAATATGAACCTTAGAGTCCAACATACAACCTGTTGTAACACCAGTCACAATCTGTGGAGACATCCATGGCCAATTTTATGATTTACTTGAGCTTTTCCGTGTTGCTGGCGGTATGCCCGGGGAGACTCATGTCGAGGCCCCCCAGACATCGACTACAGTCATTAGATCTGAAGATATCGAACCCCCAACCGAAATAACAAATCCCAAGTTGAAGAAGAAGATAAAGAATGCTGGGTCATCTGGTGAAGACGATGAGGAGGAGGAGGACAATGCGAACACCTCATCTGAGAATGTTCAAAGATCAGGCACCCCTGACTCTGGTGTTGGTGTCACTTCGTCATCACAATCAGCAGATACTCGCTTTGTCTTCCTCGGAGACTTTGTCGACCGAGGCTACTTCAGTCTCGAGACTTTTACACTTCTTATGTGCCTCAAGGCGAAGTATGTAGATCCAGAAAAGTCCATGAATTGCACACTAATCAGTTGCAGATATCCTGATAGAATAGTCCTCGTCCGTGGAAATCACGAATCTCGTCAGATTACACAAGTGTACGGTTTTTACGAAGAATGCCAGCAGAAATATGGCAACGCATCTGTATGGAAAGCATGTTGTCAAGTGTTTGACTTTTTGGTACTTGCTGCTATTGTTGACGGCACCGTGCTTTGTGTACACGGTGGTCTCAGTCCGGAGATCCGAACCATCGATCAGATCCGAGTTGTGGCTCGTGCTCAGGAGATTCCGCATGAAGGTGCCTTCTGCGATCTCGTATGGAGTGACCCCGAGGATATAGAAACTTGGGCAGTCAGTCCACGCGGTGCTGGATGGCTTTTCGGTGACAAGGTTGCGACGGAGTTCAACCATGTCAATGGTCTGCAAACCATCGCAAGAGCACACCAGCTCGTGAACGAAGGTTATAAGGTATGACACTCCCTACACAGTACATACTTCGAGTGTTTCCCACTAAACATTTTATCAGTTCCATTTCCCCGAGAAGTCCGTCGTCACCGTCTGGTCTGCGCCTAATTACTGTTACCGATGCGGTAATGTTGCCTCAATAATGACCGTGGACACGACTCTAGACACCAAGTTTAGCATTTTCTCTGCCGTTCCTGACGACCAACGACACGTCCCAGCTGGCAGACGCGGACCGAGTGATTATTTCCTTTGATTGTATGTTGGAATAGAGGGCATGGCAGGCGTTGTCAATGAGTTCCCAACTTGTATAGTAGATATGAGATGCATGTGGGCCTTCGATACCCCTGGGCTATTCACATGAGGTCATGGGCCATGAATTCAATGAAGCTGCTCCTAGGAGAGCTCTAGGAAGTACACACATATACATTTAAGACCGACGGTTTTTTTATGCTCTTTATGATCTATGACAAATGTGGCAGCTCGCTTGTATTATCTTCCAAGAGGAAGGTCAAATCAAGCAAGTGAACCTCAGACGCGACCTTGTATCATTTCTATGAGATCACACATTCATTAGGTTTTTCCTGAGAACCCGAAGGTTGACGCGGCGGTAGCGTAGGTGCAGATTGAGAAACCACAGCACGTATGCCACTGCCCAGCAATGGGCTCTCGTGTAGCAATAGCCAGTCGCCCCGTTGAGCCTGCCAGCTCTCCTCAGTCTCGCCGACAGCCAAGGTGAATAATACCCAGGCTTCAAGGGTCTGCGATCTCGTATTCCGTTGAACAACAAGGCCAACACGAGAACTTCTTTGTTTTGGAATCAAAGCCTCGTCCGAGAGCAGATATGCGCTCCCTTGGTCAACTGCTTTCTGGAAAGCCTCGATGCTCTGCGGGCTTTCCCTCTTGGTAGCTTCGCTGATGAAACCACACGACAAGGCTCCGCGAGGCTGTCCATTGTCGAACTCAAGAATAAGTGCTGGCGGTTTACTGGGTATAATCGACTTTATCTTGCTGGCAAGCCAGGTCCGACGCATTCCCCGTTCAAGCCATTGTCCCTCAGACGTGATCTTGCAATCAGTATAGCCATGAAACACGGCTGGAGCCCATGATGGGTACGGCGCTCGTGGTGGGCCGTGATACAGTGTCAACCTCGAAGCATGGTCCTTCTGCGCTTCGTAAAGCTTGCGCATCCCAGAGCGTGCGTCATCACTCAGATTCCATTGGATTCTTAGTGTAGGAAATAGAGCTCGAACGTAGTCAAGAGGTTCGCCAGCATCGCGTTGACCACAAGATATGGCGAGGTCTGGGAGTGAAACACCGGTTCGGTCATTTCTCTCCAGACGCTTGATGGACTTGGCGAGACTTGGATATTGTCCAGGGCTGTCGACTCTCCACTTCTCCCCAACTTCCAGATGCGCCATGACTCCCATGAAGTCTGATATCTCGCCAAACTTTACGAAGCCGTCCTCAGTTACTACCACAGCATTTGTGGCTAGTTTTATTTCTTGGTAAGTCCAGACTCGTGTCATCCATACTGCCTTCGTTAGTCATTGACTGGTTGAATTGTCAAGAGATCATACCTCCACAACAGAGGGCAAAAGCTGTCTTGACCGGATCAACAGACCTCAACCGCAGACACAACGCGTCAATAATCACCACATGCTTCGCATTGCGGTATATATCGGCCATGGCATTGATGAGGTGAGCCTTGAGAGCTACCTCATGTGAGGTGAGTGTTCTGCTACCTCCAGGTATCGCCAGAGAGTCTGTCCAAATCCATTCCACGCCCAATGGCTCGATCTTCGCAAAGACCTGATCCAACAAACTCTTTCGGAGTCCTCGGTTCTCAGGGTCAGATCCTAGCCCCTGAGACCAGACATGAGAAAGGGCAGCAAAACCCTCCTCGGGGTTGATCATAAATTGCCCGTATTTGTTGACACACAAGGCTCCATTCATATCGACTGATGCCTCAATTTCTGCTAATGTAGGTTTCACGAACACCTCGTTGTGAGCAAATGGGGCGTGGAAGGAGATGAGTCCAGCTCTCAGAGAGTTAGGAGTTACATGAAGATCTTTGAAGACATTATCCAGTTCTGCTTCTGTCCAGTAGCATAGCTCATTCATAGATAATGAATGAGCGATCGACTCTCCGAGTCCCTTTCCAACCAAATATTGTTTCACGAAACGATTGTTCGCTTCACGAGGCCGCCCAAGTGGCTCCAGGCCAGCGATTGAGGATGCCATCGGGAGTACCTAGGGATGTTATAATGGGTCTGTAGGTAGCTGGTGTGATCAACGGTGCAGTAATTTTTCGAGCAGAACACCTGGCAGGCTTGACCAGAACGCCTTCAAGCCGACGATCTCAAGGGAGACTTTTGCTATTGACAAGGAAACAAATTAAGCAACAACGTGGAAGAGCCGGGCAACCGCCACATTTTCAGCTGTGAGGCAAGCCAATTCAGCTTGCGGAACTCGAGTTGATTGACTTGCGCCTAGACTCTAATCTTCCAAGCCACCTCATGCACAGCCGACCGTTTGCCAGGCCTACTGTGTCTCGGTTCGGAAGTCGAAGATTTAGCGCTTCAGGATATTGGCTATTAGCGGTTCTCGTGCACCTCCAACCCCCGCTAACACTTCCTGTATTTTCACACATCAAATGTCTGCCGAGACACCACATCGGGGCAAGAAGAAAGCAGCAAACCCGATCCTGACTGCAGTGGAAGGATGGCTGTCCACCAATGTTCCAGAAAACTCAGCAGATGCCGAAGATGAGGGGGCGTTGACAAGGACGCTACTTGGCGATGCGCCGAAGCGATGGACTGCATACAGTCCAATGATTCTGCTGCCAAGCGGCAGTTTTACATCTCCTTCATGGGTGAAAAAGCTAGAACAAACAACAGAAGCTCAAAAAGAAAGTTTATGGACCGATATACTGGGACAAATTTCCAGGAAATCGAGCGAAGTGTTCACCCATCTAGCGGCAAATGAAGGAATACCACTTCAAACATCAACTCCGGGCGCAACAGGACAAGATAATGAGAACGTGTCACAAAAACAAGAAGAGAACATCTTGAGAAGCCCTAGTGGCTTGAAGATGCTATACGGAGACTTCGGTCCGTCTAAAACCATGTCCAGCTCAAGAGAGATTACGAATCTGGATTTTGAGAAAGCTCTATGGGTGGCAACGAAGCAGAATGGTATTCATCAGACATGGGCACCAAGATGGACCATGTTCAGCAGAGGAAATGTCAAAGAGAAGGCACGTCTTCTTGACTTCCACGACGAGCCTGGGTCCGCCAATACTAGGAAAGATTTATGTCATCGTATCCGGCCAAGATCTAGCTTGAAAGGCAAATGGGCCGTCGATCTTTATGGTGGCATCGGATACTTTGTGTTCTCGTACGCAAAGCTCGGGCTAAAAATACTCTGCTGGGAATTAAATCCATGGAGCGTCGAGGGCTTAAGGAGAGGAGCCGTACGTAACGGTTGGTCTGTGAAAGTGGTGAAGGGCCAGGATCTCGAAAGTCCAACGTCAGAGCTAGTGGCGGGGGAAGAAACAATCATTGTCTTCCAGGAGGACAACCAGGAAGCTGGAAAGAGAGTTCGTGAACTATGGGGAACTGAACTGACGCCTGACATCTGCCACGTAAACTGTGGGCTTCTTCCCAAGAGTGATGGCAGTTGGAAGACCGCCTGGGACATGATGAGCAAGTCTCAATATGGCTGGCTACATCTCCATGAAAATGTCGGGGTCCACGATATTGAGCATCGGCAGAAAGAGTTGCAAGAACTGTTCGACAATTGGAGTACGGAAGAAACGGGAAACCGTACAGCGCTGGTTGAATATGTCGAATTAGTCAAGACGTTTGCGCCTGATGTGTGGCACTGCGTCTTCGATGTGTACATTAAAAGTTCTAGAAATGAAGATACATGAACGTATATCGTCCCTCATTATATACTCCGTCCAACTCCTCCAAGTCTATGCCCATCATGATTGTCTCCTAAACTTGCTCGGGATGTTCTCCTCAACTATGCTGCGTTTCGCGAGCTCCTCAATACGCTCCTGCTCCTCCTCCATCTCCTCGTGCTTCTTGAAGTGTTCAATGTCTTCAGGATGCGTAAGGTCTTCAAGTTTGGTATTTTCATCGTGATACTTCTCCCAATGGTGGATCTCGTATTCGTACTCATCGTCACCATGGTGGCCAGGCCCAGTCCCCATGTCGGGGAGCGTTTTGCCAGAGGCGATGAAGCTCTGCCATTCTTCCCTGCTGACGGAATTGTCGTTATTTGTATCCAGCAGTCTCATTGCCTCCGCTGCTATTTCATCCCTCCGTGCTTGCGTGACGTCCTTGTTGGACTCGTCCATCAAGCCGTATGTGCGCAAGATCTCTTCGGCTTCCCACTGTCCGTCCGAATCGAAATCGTGCAGGGCAAAGAATGAGGCGGCATCGAAGTTCTCGGCGTGGTGCTCCTCGGCCATATGCTTCGTAATCCAATCTGCATTCTCGTCGACCATAGGCCGCTGATCATGGCTGCCATGGTCTCCGTGAGCGAGCGATGCGCCCGCAAAGCCGAGTAAAATAAGCCACGAGGCGTGCATTGCGCTGGAATGACGGTTCGAATTCTGTCTTGGAGGCGCTCAATTGGTTGTCTCAGGATGCAGCAGGGCGGGTTCTGATGTCTAAACTCGCCGAATCTATGTGTGGTTTCTTTGTCCTCCACCGGATCAAGTGTTCTGTCGATTGCAAGCTGACTCAATCAAGGTCAAAGCGGATGAATTGCGACGGCACAGGCGATAGCACACCAGCCCGGCACTTGCCCGGCGCTAAATTTAAGGTAGCTTATCGAGCTGCAGGGGCTTTAAGGAGCACGCGTTGCGGCGCGACCTTAGCGCGATAGTATGCACAGCTCTCTTCATTACCTAGGTATTGATGATGAGCCTCTCTCTTCGCAAGCCAGGAATAACTTTTCTTGCCTCCACACCAGAATCTTGCCAAGTGTTGAGCCCTTAATTATATCGACCAAGCGTCGAGTATTGCCGCAGTCATGAATAGATCCATAGAGCAGGCTTTGCTCTCTCTCCTTCCGACACAGAACTCCAACCTTCCGCCTCCACTGGTCGAGCTTGCAGGCTCACTGCTTGCACAGTCACGAAACCGAGCAAGCACACTGAAAGCCGAGGAAGAGATCGCGCGTCCTTATGCATGTGCCAATATAGCATGCGATAGGTGTGTTCTTAGAATTGGATGTTGTTATGCTGGTGGGATTCCTAATTTCTTCTAGACTCAAGATATCTCTAAATCTACCACCAATTGAGCCACGGCCTCCCATTCCACCACGCATCTACAAACGTCTGTATAACCACCTAGACAAAATCCTACCAAATTCATCCACGGGTAGCCGTGCTCGGTCGACACCTCTCAATACTCCACGATCGAAACTCCAGGGCTCATCAGCAAACCGGCCACTACCGTCAAGAGGCACCCCGACAAAGGAGTTGTCATTAAGTCATTTTCGAACCCCAGACAAAAACCAAACACCCTCCAAGGTCACAAGTCATAAGGCAATAGGCGTCAGAGTGGATGCAGCAAGCATACCTCCTTGGATTCGACCGACAGTGCGATTCATGTGCAAGGAGCTCAGCACACCCGAACTTGGTCCCACCATCATGGCCGGTATGGAGTCGATTCTGGTGCCTCATGGCCGAAAGTCATCAGATGAGTGGGTCAATGACAACATCACCACGACTCTCGGTGCCATCTACTTCTATGTTTCTGAGCGGGCTCAGTGGAAATCAAGCGACGACCAAGTTGATCAAACCCGCTATCAGGCGGCACGAAAAGTGATTATCAAGACTCTCGACGGGGCGCGGGAAACAGCAACATTCAAGGGCTCAGATCAAGACACAGCTTGGGTTGGATGGAGATCCATCAGACCACGGGACTTGGACAAGGCTGTCATGGAAGTAAATAAGCGAGGCTGGCTGCAAAGTGACTGGTATCAGGGCATGCAAGATCTTGCAGACAGGACGAATGCAGATGATCTGGAGGATGAAGATCACGATGCCACCGAACAGATTCAAAGTGTTGAAATTAGGAGGGCCGACAGTATGTTCCAGGACAGGTATGACCTCCTCAGTCAACGGAGGAGAGATGACTTCAAGGTGTGGAAAGCAGGGATACTCGAACGGATCGCGGCCCTAGAGAACAGCACTGTGCCCATGGAGATTGACTCATAACACCAGTAATTGAATCTAGCTAGCATGGTGCTTGCCACAAGCTCTATCATGGAAGCATGCGCCAAAAACGAAGCTTCCCAGGATCCTAACTCTGAAAACATGACATCCAGGGATTAATCAAGGGGCTGCCGCAGAGGCTATCCTTTACGAAATGAAAGATTGCAGGCTCTTCACCGTGTCGACAACACTCTTCTCGAACGGAATCCAATCAATTCCCAACACCCTATTAGTCTCAGAGTTGTCGACCTTATAATGCTGGTTCTCGGGAGGGAGCTCGCCACCCTTTACATCATCGCCAGGCAGCTTATCTGCAAGATCAGGGAAGTTCTTGCGGATCACGTTGAGAATATCCCTGTTGCTGAAGAAGCTTGGAGTGGTGAACAGTCGCTTGCCGCCCGCTTCTGGGATCTCCAGCCCAGCCTTGATGTGTGCCAACGCAACATCGCGGACATCGACCCAGTTCAGGGCTGCGCCAGTAGGAGGAACGGCTTCTTTCCACTTGCCAGTCGCAGCTGCCACGACGCGCTCATTGCTGGTGTTGATACTGTCTAAGGTTGCCAGGTGATGCACAACCGGACCAAGGACGAGAGGCGGGTTCACGGTTGCGACATCGAACTTGGCGCCATTGGCCGGGTCTTTGACAAAATCCCAAGCGGCTTTTTCTGCAAGTTTCTTAGATGCACGATATGCCACGGCTGGGCTGTCGTAAATCTGCTCGATGGTTACCGGATTCCACGAAGCCTCAGAGAAGGTGGTGTTTGGGTCGCTAATATGGTCCTCATCCAGGATGGCAGCAAATGAGGAGGTTACTACAACCCGCTTGACACTTGGTGCAGACTTCGCGATGGCCTTGAGGATGGCTGTAGTGCCGATCAGAGCAGGATCGATAAGCTCCGTCTTAGGATCGCCTGGTTTCACAAGTCAGTGCCGTTGCCGCACCTCAAATGGTTTTATGATCACATACTGAATTTGAAATGGAAAGGAGAGGCTGTGTGCAGGACGACCTCAATGCCAGGGATCTTGACCACCTCGTCAAAGGCATCTGATTTCGCAATATCAGGAACAATAACAATGTCCAGGTCGTCCTTGCCCTTGTTCGGGTAGGCTTCTCGGATCCTTTGCGCCTTATCCTCGGATCGGACCGTGGTGACCACCTGGTGGCCTTTCTCCAATAGCTGCTCGAGGATGTGTGCTGCGAGACCCTGGCGTTAGTCAAAGATTCGGCGTCGTGGGCGGGAAGGATTGCAGCCGCTCTAAGTGAGGCCCGACTACTCATCCAATTGCAACGCTCAATTCTTACCGGCAATGAAGCCCGAACCACCTATACCAGTACGTTAGCAGTGCTATGTGTGACCAGAAACAGCGACTCCGAATATTGGAGATGCCAGACCCGATGCGGAGCTACTCAAGATAGCTAAGATAGGCACGTACCAGTCAAGAGAACCTTCGTCATTTTGATGAAGTGTTTAATAAAGAAATCTCCTTGATTTTTCACACGAGAATTAGCTTCCTCACGAGTTTCTAAATCTGCTACCTCGTGAATAGGCGAATATGAGCAGCAATCGCAAACTCTTTTGATAATTATACCTTTTCTTCGGTCTAATCTAATCCGCACTTACCCCGCTGTATCAACGTCGCGAGTGGAAACGTCATTCGGCTTTAAAAAGGCGAGTTCTCAAATTGAATATCTTATCGCCGCAAAGCCCATCGGCCATACCTACAGCATTGCTCACCTGCCGTCTTACGGCAATCGGATACAAGCCGGGTTTGAAGGACCCAGGTCCACTTATCCCGTTGCTCTACGCCGGGGCTCAGGGCCGATTCCAGCTCCGGCCTCCTAAAGGAGTTTCACGGAGTCTCAACCCGCTCCGCGTGATCACTTAACGCCGAAATCTAACTTTCAATCATGCACCCTTATATAGAGACACTAAAGGGTGAGATGATTTCGTCAGTGATAGAAAGTGATTATGAATCTTTATATTGCCAGAATGGAGATCCAACATCCATTTAAATGAACAGACATGCACACAGCATCAATTTAAGTAACCAAGCAGGTCTATGTGCCCCGAATACGGCATAAGATTCATATAAACCTCCATTATTAGATCTGTGAAACTGGCAAAAAAAGGCCTGGATCTCTTGAAAGTAATTCGCGGCTTGTGGCTGGCTAATCGGCGCCAGGTTTTCGACCGCATTCACTGCCACTAGTGAAGCCGAACCCTCTTGGATCATAAGAATAGCGAGTTAGATATAGTTTTGTTATGACAAACGTAGGCTGGCCTAGCTATCGAAGACCGCCATCCTTACTGGCTCCTCTTAGCGTTGGACAACATTTCAGCTAAGAATACGGGTTTAGATTCGCTTAGTCCCGGTCAGGGTATCTTGCAACAGGGTCATTGACATGCCTGTGAACGATTCCCGTAGACTTCTTTCATCTAGCCACTCATTGGAACATCTCTCAATCCTAACTTCGGCAGTTTTATGCGAGAAACCCGAAGGGATTGGTTCTTGTCAGAATTACCATGTAGAAACATGATAATATTCCCCTAAAATATATCGTTTCCAAAGGCTAGGAGCACTTGCTGTATATCTGCCTTGAAGATCATGGACACTTACGTTGCCCCTTACCTCTATCAGCAGTCAATGCGGCCAATAAGACCTCCTCTCGCTCGGGTGGTGACAGCCAATATGTGCCTAGACTCGTTTTCGAATAGGCTGCATGCAAATTCAGGCTTCTGGAAGCATTTGACACAATAAACATAGACAGACTTTCAGTCTAATGATATGCACTCTAGCTGTCGTACCCCATTGCAGGTGTCAAAGACCCATCATAGCGTGAAGCACAATTGGTCGTGAGTGTTCTCGGTATACTTTGATTCGGGCTGGAAAGATGTTTGTCCTTTGGCATCGCTCTCACGTGTGGTGCTCGTGGGATTCAAATATTTCTCGAGGACAGAGAAAGCCATTCATGTTGCGCAAACACCAAGTCTCCTTGCCAGGACCTCGAGTCTCCTTTCAGATGCAGGAATGGCATACGTGGTAACACAACTTCAGAAACATATAGTTTCCTTCAGCAGTCCCACCGTCACCTGTGGTTGGTCGCCTAGTAAGCAAGACTATTGGATGCAGAAGATGCCCGCTGTTGTCTAGCACTCGCTTCATCGACCAAACAATTATCCGCTCAACTTGCCCTGGGTAACCGTTTGAAGTTCCTATTCTTGAGACTGATTGTTGATTACACATATTGGTCTGCCTAGCAATGACCGGCTGCAGTGCGGCTGTATCCCTAAGGATCAGCCAATCTACTTTGACAATAGATGATTACAGCAATCTCGTCGGCACCTTTTCTCCGCGCAAAGGGCCCCTAATTATCGTAGACCTCCTGCGAAGGAGATCGCCTTTCCATAAGCAGCAGGATACGCGGTTCTGTCATACCAAGTCTCTGGGGTTAAGAAGTAGGAAAAAGTCATAATATATTCCCCGATCTATCTTGCCCAGACATGGCATGTGCAAACTTTCCTAAACACATTATATGGTTTAACTTATCACGCGGGTCACGCAGCCATGATGTCTCACTTGGCGGTTGTCGACAGGAGGTTTGAAGTGTACTTGCAAGATTTAGTGATCGATATGACAGACTACTGACCTCAGATATGACTTGGACTCAGCTAAACTTTCGCAGACTTGTCGTTTCCGCCCTTGAAAGTCCACGATCAGCCTGTTATGGCTCTCAAACTTCAGCTAGCGGGTCAAATTCTTGTTTGTTCTCGTCTTCCATTTGGAAGGCTCGGCTGCCTGCATCGCTTCTAATAACTCTCATTGGCACTTCCGGCACCTATAACGGTAGTCTCATACGGGCTGGTATTCTCGTCGGGCAGCGGGCATCTGCAGGAGTGTGTTACACATATACCCTTCATCCAAGTGACCTCTATATCACGTTACACACTTCTTGTTGCGCCTGGCGTTGCACTGCGGTGTAGCGTCATAGCTGTACGATGATGAGAGGTGGACCGGAATATATAGTAGACAACTTGGGAGTTTATTGCACGCACATCGCAACAGCCTCAGATTTGCATATGCGATCTTCGGCCCTCGGAGGCTCGCTGCCTATCGCTCAGTCAAACACAAATTTTCGTCTATTGACCCTCGAGAGGCGGCTCTTCCGTTCGTCTATTACATTCGTTTTCATCGGAACTCTCTCTGCAAACGACAATCCAGGATACACGACTTTAGTAAATACCTAATATGTCTCTCGTTGCACAATCGTGTCCTTCAAAACAAGACCACCATCATTAATACGATCGGAGATCGTGGATGCCCAACATGTCGCGTCGCGGAACTGCCGATTGTAGTTGCCCTTTCAATGAAGCGACGGGGAAGGAAGGAGAGGAAGCAAAGATAGGATTAGCATACGGCCAAGACCCTCCAACTTGTCTGAGGAGGTGCAGGGAGACATACCTGGGAAAGCTGTCAGGCAAGCCCGACATTTCTCCTGAGGCCTGCGATATTCTCTTGACAACAACAAACCGCCAGCAATTTCATCCCTTGTATTGGTGTGATTCTTCGCTGTGTGGAGTATGGATAGATCCTAATGGAGGGCTGGAACAAGACCGTATGTTAATTATTTCTTGCCAACATCAGGGAAATCTAACAGGGGATACAGCAAATGTAGGACTAATAATCAACACTTGCCAGAAGTTCGTACCCCTTCTTAGTCCCCAAGCCATATCATTAATCGGTGTATAGTATTGGCTATTTCACCATCAATGACACAGGCCCGCCGTCTGTCAACTATTCCTGTTCGTTCTGTGATGGTGGGTCAGCCCCTGAACCAGGTCCTGAACAGAAGTTGAACCCTTCAGGAGTATCATCCGCAAGCACCGCAGAAGGAAATGTTCCTACACGGACCCCATCAACACCCGCAACTAGTAAAAGCACCTCTCTCTCCTCTACTCAAACCACGATACCTCCTAGTTCTGTCGTTGATCCCTCGACTACATATGCGGGGTCGAACCCGACGGGGGAACTATCCCTAGGAGCGAAGGTTGCCATCGGTATTTGTTCCACTATAGCACTCATCGCCCTAGCATTGCTGATAGTGCTCATTCTGCGTTATCGTCGGAAGCATAGGCGGTACGCACCGAACATGAGGGACCGTAATAACATTGTACACGAGTTCTCGAAGCCTCTAGCCGGGTCACCGACGCCTCTAGTTTCTCCTATTTCTCCTTCTGATGATAGGTCGCCTCTGACACCGCCCCTGAGACTTCGCGATCGTAGATTGCTACCATCTATTCTGAAGTCATCATCTCGGTCAGGCTCGCCTCCAATCGGAATTCCATTTGACGAACGTGACTTCTCGCAGGACTACAAGCCGCCGTTCCCGATCTCTCCCATCTGCTCGCCGACGACTCACAAACTCGAGCCGCGACAAGCAAAAGTCACTAGTACTCACAAACTCTCATCACCCAGATCTCCTCCGCCTGTAAGCTTCTCCATGCCTCGGTCGAGCCTCAGCAGCTATGCGACTTCTGGCACCATGACGGCTAATTCATCTCTGAGAAATGAGATCATGGCAACAACAAGCAATGAAACAGGTGCATCGACACTAGCTGTGGCTGATCTAGCTGATTCTACTCCACCATCATCACCATCAAGGCCACCAAGACCACATGAATCTCCCCTTGTCATACCGGACTTGGTAACGGGCCCAATGACTCCTGGGCCACCTCCAAGTCAAGGGCTGCCGCCGCCGCCTCCATTGTCACTACCGCCGGGTCGCAGCTCAGTAAATGTTACGAACTCATCTTCATTGTATTCACTGAGAGACCCGGAGTTTGCTGAGCGGGGAGCAGCTGTTGCTTTGGCGAATAATGCCAACCATACTCGTGGGGAGCATGATAGCTGGGGTAGCTGGACAAACTCGGGAGATGACGGCCTTGGTTTGGCCGTCCCCGATGCATATACAAATGGTATTGGCATAGCTCTGACGAAGACTCACTCGTCAGAGGCCCTCCCGGGACCGTTAGATGATCAAGGGGTGTCTAATCATGATATATGAGCGTTGCAGGAGGGAGAAATCGAGATTTTCGGCACGCGGTACAAGTGAATACGGCATAATGAAAGATTTGGACATAATATGCAAGGAAAGTTGGGTTGGGTTATTAGCAACGATACCACGATGGAATAGGGGTTGGCGTTGGTGATGCTGGAGTGACTAGGCAGCAACATCTGAAAGGGTGGATATGAAATTCTCGATTCATAGTCGCATAAAACCCAAACCAGTAGTCGTAGTTCTAAAGGACATATAATACGGTGCGTTCATGTTGGTATTCTCATATTGATGCCAGTATCAAAGGCCACACGCCGCAGCCTCACAGATCACTCACAAAGCGGAAGACCACGAGGTCGAAGAGGCGTTGTTCTCTATGACTGAGGACTGTTAAACAACAC